TGTGGGTGTGTGTGTGTGGGTGTGTGTGGGTGGGTGTGTGTGTGTGTGGTGTGTGTATGTGGGTGTGTGTGTGTGTGTGTGTGTGTGTGGGTGTGTGTGTGGCAATGGCCCAGAGTGCCGGAGGCCGGGGCTGAGCTGTGCGGAGGGGAGAGATGACAGTCAAAGAGGAAGTTCTTGAAGTGTGATCTGCTGACAGAGCGAGGAGGAGGAGGAGGAGGAGGAGGAGGAGGAGGAGGGTCGAGGCAGAGAGTTCCCGAGTCAGGAGGACATCCCAAAGCACCTCACAGTATATACTGGAAAGCGAAGTAACTGTGTTTTTAGGTAATTTGTACACAGTAATGTCCACTTAAACAGCCATGGAGCGAGTGACCAGCCCTATTTGAGGGTTTGTTGGCCGAGATACCGAGAGAGAGAGAGAAACTCCCTTCTCTTTCCAACAGCCTCGCGGGATCTTTAACATCCACCTGAACAGGCAGACGGGGAGTGAGGTTTAACGTCTCATCTGAAGAACAGCATCTCCGCCAATGAGCCTGTGGCGAGTGACCAACTTTTGGGGGCACTGTCGGCCAGGACACTGGGAGAGAGAGAAGCTGCACTGGGACAGTCTAGACTATGAGCTCAAAGTCTCCAACGTTGGGTTTGAACCCACGACTTTCTGACTCGGAGGAGAAAGTGTTAACAACCGAGCCAGGCCATTACATGAGCCCAGAGAAAAGAAAAATACAAATGGTTGGGTGTGTGTGTAGTGGAGGCTGGTGGGAAGGGGGGGTCCAGATATCCATAGAATCATGGTGTCTGCGTTGGCTCTTTGAAAAGACTAACACCCGGGTTCCTACTCACTGTTGGTAAACAGAGGTGTGTGGAGAAAGGAAACTTGCCTCAGGTTTCCCCCTGACCCACCAGGAATCGGTCTCAGTTCTCTCACTTGCGAGGCGAGGGCTCTAACCACTGAGCTGCAGGACTCCATCAAATGTGAGGATTATTACTATTAATATTATTATTTTTATATGAATATGACCCGGTGTCGCTGTGACAATGCCTCGGACCTGAAGTTGGAGGAGCTGTCTGTGAAGAGCCTCAGCAGGAAGTTTCCAGTGACTCCAGGCTCGAAGGTGGTGGGAATAATAACATAACGTCCTGTGGGCAGTGATTCCCGCAGGAAGATACACTTGGCGTTGATGTAGGTGGTGGAGGCAACTGACTGCTGCAGGGAGTGCATCCGGTAATCCCTGTTCAACTCCACCTGGGACAGAGAGAGAGAGCGTGGGTCAGCGAGACTGAGAGAGAGAGCGTGTGGGTCAGTGAGACTGAGAGAGAGAGAGCGTGTGGGTCAGTGAGACAGAGAGAGAGAGCGTGTGAGCAAGACAGAGAGAGAGAGAGAGAGAGAGAGCGTGGGTCAGTGAGACTGGGAGAGCATGTGAGCGAAACTCAGAGAGCGAGAGCACATGTTAGCGAGACTGAGAGAGAGTAAGCTGTGAGAGAAAAAGCGAGAGAGAGGGTGAAAGGTTAGTGAGAAAAGAGAGAGAGAGCGAGTGTGTTAACGAGAGAGAAAGAAAGAGGATTGTCAGAGAGAGAGAGAGAGAGAGAGAAAGACAGTCAGAGAGCAGAGAGGGAGAGAGAGAGAGAGGAGAGAGGGGGGAGTGGACCTCATGGTGAAGTGGTTTCTCTTACCGTGAAGATCTCGAAGCCCATCGACAGCTTCTTTCCCTTGTGGTCTTTCTGGGTTAATCTCACGTCCTTTTGCTGCAGACACAACAATACCTCATCCTCCTCCTTCGTCACGTCAAACACAAACTGGGGGGAGAGAGGGAGTGTGAGAGAGAGAGAAAGAGGGAGTGAGAGAAAGAGGGTCATGTCAAACAAATACTGCGGAGCAAAAGAGTGAGAGAGAGAGTGACAGCGAGAGAGAGAACTTCCTCCTATTACAATAACAATGATGACAAAATAATAATATTTATATTTAATCGCTGCATTTGATACAGCGCCTCATCACATCTTCGAGACACCTCAATTCCCTTCACAGGAAACACTGTAAAGTGAATTGACTGTATATTTTGTGGGTGAAACACAGCAGCCAATGCGCACAGCAGCGTCTGTCCCACAAAGAGCCACAAAGAGCCGTGGGTTGAGTGAACAACTTATTATTATTTTTGGAGGAATTATTACCCCCAAAAAGTGATCCGCCAATCAACTAACAACCGGGTTCCTACTCACTGCTGTAAACAGAATCAGAGGTGTGTGGGGTAAGGAAACTCACCCAAGGTTTCTCCCGCCCGGGAATCAAACCGGGTCCTCTCACTTGTGAGACGAGTGTCTAACCGCTGAGTGACTGGACTACACAACATACACAATATAGTTTGTGATACGACATGACAAGCCACTGTAGGTTGGGGGGAAGGCAAACTAGATGGACCTTAGTCTTCTTTCGTTAAGCAAATTCTTATGTTCTTAGGCACTGACTGAAAGGGGTGGAAACAGATTCAATAACAACTTTCCAAAGGGAATTAGGTTGAACAATCCTGGATTCTTCTCTTGAAAAGAGGAGGGTAAGGGGTGACCTGATAGGGGTCTTTAAAATGATGAAAGATTTTAAAAGGGTCGACATAGGGAAGATGTTTCCACCTGTGGGGGAGGTTAAAACCAGGGGCCGTCAACATAAAATAGTCACCAATAGATCAAACAGGGAAGTTAGAAGAAAGTTCTTCACACAGAGGGAATGTGGACTTTCTACCACAAGGAGGAGATGAGGTGAACATTACAGATGCATTTAAGGGGAAGTTTCTGTGCTGTATATTCTATATAACAGATACTTGAAAAAGAGAAATTTAAGTCTATGGGTTAAGAGTGGGGGAGTGGGACCAGTTGGGGTAAGAGCGGGGGAGTGGGACTAGTTGGGTAAGAGAGTGGGACTAGTTGGGGTAAGAGTGGGGAGTGGACTAGTTGGGGTAAGAGTGGGGTGTGGACTAGTTGGGTAAGAGTGGGGGTGTGTGACTAGTTGGGTAAGAGTGGGGAGTGGGACTAGTTGGGGTAAGAGTGGGGGAGTGGGACTAGTTGGGGTAAGAGTGGGGGAGTGGGACTGGTTAGAGTAAGAGTGGGGGAGTGGGACTAGTTGGGGTAAGAGTGGGCGAGTGGGACTAACTAGTTGGTGGCTCCTCCAAAGAGCTGGCACAGACATGATGGACCGAATGGCCTCCTTCTGTACTGTAATATTCTATGATTCATACGTTGTTATGAGTCTCTAAACCTGAGCTACAGGACTGCAGTGCAGAGGGAGCCGGGGGGTTGGGGGGAGGCCCACAGCCTGGGTCTGACCTGGGGGTTCTGCAGGAAGGTGTTCTTGTTGTTGATACAGCCCCCGGAGCGGTTCCTCAGGGGATCATCGTGTCGGCTCCACTGGCTCATGGCCCCCGCCTCGTCCCAGGTCTTGTGAACAGTCAGGTACGAGGTGTTTATAATCCGGCAGACAACCAGGTCAGTGAAGAGCTTACAGAAGTCATCGAAATTCATCCTGAGAGGAGACAGCGTCACTCAGATAGCAATCACTGCCCTCCCCTTAAACCCCCTCAACCCCACTCCCTCCCCTCCCTGTCTGATCAACTCCCCTCGCCTCCACCCGATTCCCTTCCCCTCTGACCCTCTCACCCACTGACCCCCCCATTCCCTTTGACCCCACCCCCCTCGACCCACCACCCCTGTGATTCCCCCTCCCACTCCCCCTCTGACCACCCCTCCTTCTCTGACCCCAACTCTCTGACCTCCCTCAACTCCCCTTGACCTGCCCTCTCCCCTCACCACAACTCCCCACCCTCCTCTCAACACCCGCCCCTTGCCTCCCCATCTCAGACCCGTTCCCCCCTCGCCCCACTCCGCCCCTTCCCACGCCCCTAATCTCCATCACTCACCAGAATTCCCCATCATCGCGGACGGTGACCCCCAGCTTCTCCCGCTCACTCTTACTGACCTTCTGCCACTCTTCAGAGCTGTGTGTGTGGCCACAGAGAGAGGAAGACACACAGAAAGAGAAAGACATTAAACACAGGTGCAACCTTCTCCATTTCCTTCCCGCTTCCATTTCTCTCCGATCTCCAGCCCTCTCCCCGATCGCCTCCTTCAAACAACGTTCTCTTAAAGAGTTGCGCAGTTGGACAATGAACTGGGAACCAATGAAGGAATGGGAACCTGTAGCTCAGTGGTTAGAGCATTCGCATCGCAAGCGAAAGGACCCGGGCAGCAGGAGACCTTAGGCTAGAATAGAGGGGTGAGGGAGAGGGGGATAGAGGGGTGAGGGAGAGGGGGATAGAGGGGTGTGGGAGAGGGGATAGAGGGGTGAGGGAGAGGGGAATAGAGGGGTGAGGGAGAGGGGAATAGAGGGGTGAGGGAGAGGGAATAGAGGGGTGTGGGAGAGGGAAATAGAGGGGTTGAGGGAGAGGGGAATAGAGGGGTGAGGGAGAGGGGGATAGACGGGTGTGGGAGAGGGGATAGAGGGGTGTGGGAGAGGGGATAGAGGGATGAGGGAGAAGGGAATAGAGGCCCCATTTCCACTCCCCCTCCCCCGAGAACAGTCAGCGCGTTGAGCCTGGATACCCCTCACCTGTCGCTCCACGGACCGTTCCACTCCTTTTGCCCCCAGGGGTTCCTCATCCTGATCATGAAGAGTTTCTCGGCCTTGAAGAAGGCCAGGAGGCCGTGGCCCAGACGGAGTTTCCTGACGTCGGTCACGGCATAGGCGTGGCCTTTGACCAGCCCACTGTCTGTCCGCTGCTCCATCTCGCTGGCCGACGTGACCTGGTGCGAGGGAGGAAGGAAACCGTGACTCCCTCCAGCCACAAGCAACCCGGGGTGGGGGGGGGGATGGGAATGGGGGTTCAGTGCAGGTTCACCAGACTGATACCAAGCCTTAAACGTGATGAGGCGCTGTATCAAATGCATAAACTGGGTTTAATGTGTCGTTCATTCCTTCTCTCCGTCTCTCTCTTTCTCGTTCCTTTCATCGCTCTCAGATCTGGAACAAGAATCTGTTGAAAGACGATTTCCTCGGTCAGGTGACGTTGCCCAGTGACCCCACCGATCTTCAATCCCAGCACACTCTGCACCTGAGAGACAAGAGCGACCGACAAGTCAATGACCTGCCAGGGTACATCGGGGTCTATGTGGTCACCAGCAAAGTCCTGAACAGCATCTGATCCCCCCCTCCCCTCCCCCCCACCCCCGCGCACACAGTGAGCGGCTCAGTCACTCTGAGGAACAGCCATAATCAAGTCTTGGGTCATTCTTCATAGAATCATAGAATCATACAGCACAGAAAGAGGCCATTCGGCCCATCGCGTCTGCGCCGGCTCCTAAAAGAGGTTCCAACTCAAGCCCACTGGCCCACTTTCTCTCCAGAGCCCTGCAATGCTGTCCTCCAAATACCCATCTACTTCTCTCTTAAAAGTTGTTATTGAATTGACTTCCACTACCCTTTCAAGTCCTCTTGGAGGCTGGTGCTGTCCTCCTCACCATTAACTACTTTTCCTGGCTATTGTCTGGAAATTTGGAAATTGTGCTCTCTATATCCAGGTCCAGATCATTAATATAGATCAGAAAGAGCAGTGGTCCCAATATCGACCCCTACACCCCTCACCACTACACCCCTCCCTCCAGCCAGAAAAGCAACCGTTTACTACCGCTCTCTGCTTTCTGTCTCCTCGCCAGTTCTGGCTCCATGTTGCCACAGTCCCTTTAATACCGTGGGCTTCTATTTTGTTTATAAGTCTCTTATGTGGCACTTTGTCAAATGCCTTTTGAAAATCCATATAAACCACATCTACTGCACTACCTTCATCCATCCTCTCAGTCACTTCATCAAAAAATTCTATTAGGTTTGTCAGACACGATCTGCCTTTAACGAATCCGTGTTGACTGTCCTTTGTTAAACCATATCTTTCTAAGTGAGAATTTATATTGTCCCGAATTATAGTATTCCGGGAGTTTGGTGTGTACTTGTGAGTGAGTGCGTGTGAGTTTAACTCCCGGAATACTAGAATTCGGGACAATTAGGCTGACTGGCCTGTCGCTCTCAGGTTTATCCTTCTGCCACTTTTTGTGCAGGGACTCCTGCATTTGCAACCCTCCAGTCCTCTGGCACCACCCCGGTGTCCAAGGAGGATTGAAAGATTATCCTCTCCAAATAACCCCCAAGCCCCCATACACCCAACACCCCCATAAACCCAGCCCCTCCCCCCACACACACCCATTCCCCCACCCCATTTCCTCCGTGTATTTTCTTTATGTAGCTATTTTGAAATGAACGTGCCAATGATATCGAGTTAGAGCGAGTGAGCGAGCGAGGGACGGAGGGAGCGAGTGAACATAAGAATTCTCTGGCGAATGAAGACCAAAGTCCAACCAGTTCTCGTTCCGCCGTCCTGGCATTCTCTTGACACAGTGTGTCCCAGACTATATCCTGTGAGTCAGAGACTGGGTATGAGCTCAACGGGGTATGAATGGGTTTGAAGGCTGAGCGGCCATCTCTGAGTCACTGAGACACACAGGTCAAGCACAGCTCGAAGCCCGTCTTGTGGTTGGTCCACTCGGGAAGATGGCAGAGGCAGTGACGGGGTTTGGCTTGAGCAACAACGGGTGAGGGATTAGCCTTCTCTCTCTCTCCCTCTTCCCGGGGGGTCATCCCCAAAGAAAATGTGGTCACTCAATCTACCACTGTTGTGGGACGCTGCTGCCACATTTCACCCACAAAAGACACAGTCACTACACTTTACAGTATATCATGTGAAGTGCTTTGAGTGTCTCGACGACGTGATGAGTTGCTATATCAATTGTAAGGATTATTATCATATTTGGAAGCTGATATCTGGCGGGTGGGTGCAGGGGGAGGTTAGAGGGGGAGAGGGGAGTGAAACGGCTTCCAAACTTAAACCAGGTTTAAGAGGTTTTATCAAACTCCAAATTTTAAAGACCAAAATTGCCGTTAGGCTCAGAGGAGACGTAAGGTAGAGGTTACTGCTGTGTCTCTGTGTCTGTGGTTGTGGTCAGAATTTCTGGATGGCAGCGTGGTGTGTACTTGTGAGTGACTGCGTGAGTACGTGTGTGTGCATGGGTTTGGGCCAAGAAGCTAAGCCTGAAGCCTCCAGACTCATTTTACAAACATTTAATTTTTGGGGCCAAATTATCTAAGTATTCACTTTAAAAAATAATAACCCAAAGTGCCATTTTGGGGCCAATTTACAAACCAAAAATGTGCCTCTAAATAAAACAAGACTCTGGGAAGTAAGAAATCATTAAGTTGAAGGGTAGTGCCTCCCACTGGTGGGAGTTGGTACATACAAACACCAGGATTGTTAGTCTCTTTGTCACTTTATTTTTAATTTGCAAATTCAAGGCGAGTTGTAGGCCATGTGTTGGCTGTGATGAGAGCGGTGTGCGGAGGGCAAAGAGATTTCCCAAACACTGACTGCACTGTGAAATGGTTCTCCATCAAAGATGAAGCTGAACAAACATTGTAAAGGACCAGTCACTGAGGGCCGGAAATCCTCCCCCTCAGCTCCTGGTAACCCCACAGCCAAAGCCCTAACTAACGGGGAGGGGGTCCTCGCTGGACAAGCAGCGGGAAAGCTTGGCCAGACAGCGATAGCAATGGCCAAGCTGTGTGGGTTTAGCCGGTTAGACTCCAGCAGTTACCCCAACACACACTCTGGGCTCCCCCCAAGCCTTGGCTCTCACCAACCTGTGCCTAATACTCAATGAGTCGGTGCTGGTGTGAGCTCCTTTACAGAGATACCTTCTCTTATCACTGTTCCCTGCTCCCCCCAACTCGGCTCCACACCCTTTTTTACTATCACCAGATTCCAATAGATATTCTCTGGATTCCTTGTTTTTACACTCCACAGTATATCCTGTGAAGCGCTTTGTGACGTCCTTTCGACGTGATGGCTGACGTTAGCCTGTGGTGTCACTACACTTATCAAATGTAAATCTCTCTCTCCCCATCTCTCTCATTCTCACCCTGTCTCCCCTTCTGCCTCTCTCTCTCTCACTCTCTTCCCATCTCTCTCTCTCTCTCTCTCTCCCCCTTCAGTAAGCTCAATAGCAAGTGCCTTTCGGAATAATGTTTTATTTGCATTTTCACCTTTTTAATTACTTGGAATCATATCAAATTGTGCCTGGTTTTAAATGTCCGATTTCCCCCCCACATAACAATAATAATGTGGCCATTCAATCCACGGCTGTTTGTGGGACGCTGCTGTGCGCAATTAGCTGCCGTGTTCCGCCCACAAAATATACAGTCACTACACTTTACAGTGTATCCTGAGACGCTCTTTGAGACGTCTCGAAGACATGATAAGGCGCTGTATCAAATGCCAGGGTTATTATTATTGTTGTTGTGCCTCGATCTCTGCCACTTGCTGCTCCCACTGCCAGTCCAATGCCACCTCGTGCCTCACTGCTCCCGCAAGTGTCGGAGAGCGCAGCGACCCTTTACTGTGAAGTCACTACACTTCATAGTAAATCCCACCACTGGCTTCGAGACTTCCTGCTGGTGTGACAGGTGCTCTGCTGAAGACCAAAGATTATTATTAATCGTAAAAAATGTGGAGTTTTTCTCGCAATTAATCAAGCTTCTGTTGGCCTTGTCCTTCACCCAAAATTCACCCCCAAAATTTGTGTCTAGGACCTTGCTGGGTGCAACATTCCCCCCCCCACCAACCAACTTCATAAAACACTTGCCTTATAAAACACTTTGAGGAAATTCTATTACATCAAAAACTGCTGCAGCCATGTAAGATGTAATTTTAGACCATAGGAGCAGGAGTAGGCCATTCAGCCCCTCGAGCCTGTCCCGCCATTTAATAAGATCGTGGCTGATCTTCAAACCAAATTCCATTTACCCGCCCTATCCCCATATAATAATAATAATAATCCTGGCATTTGATTTAGTGGTTTTCACGTCTTCTCGACATCTCAAAGCGCTTCACAGAATTTACTGTAAAGTGAATTGACTATATTTGAGGGCGAAATATCCCTTAATCCCTCTATCCTTTAGAAATTGTATCAACCTCAGTCTTGAATATGTTGGTTAGTTAGACTCCAGCAGTTACCCCAACACACACTCTGGGCTTCCCCCCACCCCCCCAACCTTGGCTCTCGCCAACCTGTGCCTAATACTCTCCGGAATTAGGCAAACAGGGAGCGTCCCTCCAGGGAGAGAGAGAGCGCATTCCATCCCAACAATCTCTCTCTGGGGTTTCCATGTGGGGGGATACAGGGAATTCTCAGTTGGGTTTGGAGACTGTTAAGCAAAGGTGACGGGTTTCCGGGGTGTCAGACACCCGGCCGGTCACGGTGACGGGTTTCCGTGGGTGTCAGACACCCGGCCGGTCACGGTGACGGGTTTCCGTGTGTGTCAGACACCCGACCGGTCACGGGGACGGGTGTCCGTGTGTGACAGACACCCGACCGGTCACGGTGACGGGTTTCCGTGGGTGTCAGACACCCGACTGGTCACGGTGACGGGTTTCCGTGTGTGTCAGACACCCGACTGGTCACGGTGACGGGTTTCCGTGTGTGTCAGACACCCGACCGGTCACGGTGACGGGTTTCCGTGTGTGTCAGACACCCGACCGGTCACGGTGACGGGTTTCCGTGGGTGTCAGACACCCGACCGGTCACGGTGACGGGTTTCCGTGTGTTGTCAGACACCCGACCGGTCACGATGACGGGTTTCCGTGGGTGTCAGACACGCGGCCGGTCACGGTGACGGGTTTCCGTGGGTGTCAGACACGCGGCTGGTGTGAAATGTAAGCTAACTGTGATTGTTATAACGTGGGGTTGGGGGAGGGGGAGATATGGGTGGGGGTGAAGGGGGGTACACTGCAATGCCAAACTTCTCCTTTCTGCTCCCACTTCCCAATAATCTGTGTAACCCCCCCCCACCCTCCCCGCCCCACATACTGTGCCATCGTCCATCTAACCTGCAGCATGTCAAAAGGCGTCTCGTTAAGATAATGTATATCACAAAAATATTAGCTCTGAAATACATTAAAATGAAAAAAAATGTCTGAGTTGTTCTGTTCTTTCCCACTCTGCTCAGCGTCTCTTTCACAGGGTACAGACACTCGCCTCGGCAGCGAGAGGTCCGGGTTTGATTCCCGGGCAGAGTGAGACCGTGGGCGAGTTCCTCACTCCACGTCTCTGTTTACAGCAGTGAGTAGGAACTCGGTTATTCATCGATTGTTGGGGATCACTTTCTGGGGATAACAACAACAACAACGGATTTATACAGCGCCCACCAATGCCGGACAGCGCCTCAGAGCACTTAAACCCCTTCACCCAAAATAATAAGAATAATTTGGTCACTCAATCACGATGTTTGTGGGACCGACGCTGCTGTGGGCAATCGGCTGCCGCGTTTCACCCCAAAAATATACAGTCAATTACCTTTACAGTGTATCCCATGAAGCGCTTTGAGACGTCTGGAAGACGTGATGAGGCTCTGTGTCAAATGCCAGAATTAGTATTATTATATTATTCCCTATCGGTGGAGTTGGCGATGGGTTCGCTGTTGGCAAAGGGTTCCTGGTTTCTAAGGCAACGGTGGGACGCCACAGGCAGTAAATGTACAAGAAACACAGTTACACCCACAGACACACACAGACAGACACACACACACACAGACACACACACACACACAACCACACAGACAGACACACACAGACAGACACACACAGACACACACACACACACACACAGACAGACACACACAGACAGACACACACACACACAGACACACACACAGACAGACACACACACACACACACACACACCCAGACAGACACACACACACACACACACACAGACAGACAGACAGACAGAGCCGCTGTGGCGGTGACTGCACTCAGTGTCTGGAGCCCGTGAGCTGTCGCTTTGTTAAAGGTACAGCGTTTTGCATTGAAAATCCTTTTTTGGGGCTGTGTCTGTGTCTGTGTGTGTGTGTGTGTCTGTGTCTGTGTGTCTGTGTCTCTGTCTGTGTGTGTCTCTGTGTGTGTGTCTCTGTCTGTGTGTGTCTGTGTGTGTCTGTCTGTCTGTGTCTGTGTGTCTGTGTGTCTGTGTGTCTCTGTCTGTGTGTGTCTGTCTGTCTGTCTGTGTGTGTCTCTGTCTGTGTGTGTGTGTGTCTGTCTGTCTGTGTCTGTGTGTGTGTCTGTCTGTCTGTGTGTGTGTGTCTGTCTGTGTGTATGTAATAGAGAGCGATGAAGACAGTGAGAGCCAATGTGATTGTTGGGGCACAGAAACTCCGGAAGATTCAGACGATCCTCAGACCTGAGCCGTTTGGAATTTTAATTATTATTTTATTAATATTATTTCTTTGTGCAAAAGCAAAAGGAATATGGGGAGTGGGGGGAAAGCTTACTCTGGGACTGGGAATGCCCATCACTCTGCCCTTTGTTAGACATTTAGTCTATGAGGAGGGGGTGAGTGCTAGAGGGGAAAAGGGGGTGAAAAAGAGGGGAAAAGGAAGGGAAAAGGGGGTGAAAAGGAGGGGAAAAGGGGGTGAAAAAGAGGGGAAAAGGAAGGGAAAAGGGGGTGAAAAGGGGGGTGAAAAAGAGGGGAAAAGGGGGGGGTGAAAAAGAGGGGAAAAGGAAGGGAAAAGGGGGTGAAAAAGGGGGTGAAAAAGAGGGGAAAAGAAGAGGAATAAAGAGGCTAAATTGTTAGTCTGTTTTAGCAAAACAACTAAAAAACCGGAAAGTTTGAGAATGTCTTTACTGTGTTTATATATAAAAAAGAGAGATTCGGAGCCATTGATTGTTAAATTGACTCAATTTAGAGCAATCTGCAAATCAGCCAAATACATAGTGACTAACAGGTGCCTCTCTGTGATCAGCTGCTCACTCTCTCCTCCTAATGGCTGTATAAGGAGTCTGGGGTCGGGAGACAATAATAATAATATAATAATCTTTGCATTGGATACAGCGCCGTATCACATCTTCTCGACATCTCAAAGTGCTTCACAGAATAGACTGTAAAGTGAATTGACCGCATATTTCTGGGCAAAACCCGGCAGCCAATTGCCTGCGGCAGTGTCCCACAAACAGCCGTGGGTTGAAGTGACCGATTTCTTATTGTTTTATTGTCTGGAGGGGTTATTACCAGGCGTGCGGAGTGAGGAAGCGCGGCCCTCTGCCGGGAATCGGACCCAGGTTCCTCGCTCGCAAAACAAAAAGGGGATTCGTTAAAGTTCTGAGATTGTCTCAAATTGTTAAGTCTATTTTCCCATCAATCCATCAGGTAGGTCATATACTGTACAATGTTTGTTCTTTTCAGGTGGATGAGGGGGTGAGGGTGAGGAGGGGGTGAGGGTGAGGAGGGGGTGAGGACATATAGAGAAAGAGAGAGAGAGGGAAACTTCAGAGGCAAAATGGGGAGTTTTCACAATAATATACATATATCTAATTGTCATTTTTAAATGCTCTTTCTCTGTCTCCCTTCCCCTTTGCTCCGTCCCCCTCCCCACTCTGCTCACTCCCCGCCCAAACCCCACTCCCTCGGCTCTCCCCAGGACCCCCTCCCTGATAAAATACTGGCTGTTAGCAGAATGATGCAGTGGGCAAGTTGGCTGCAAGTTTGGCTACAATCACTTTTAAAGCTGTCCATGGTCTTGTTCTCCCCATCTCTGCGACCTGTTAAACCTTTACCAATCTGTCCGCTCCCTCCACCGCCTGCCCCCACCCCGCCCCTCACTGTCCCCCACTGTTGGCGGTCAGGTCTTCCAGCCTCCCTGCCCCACTCCCTCACTCCATCCCGGAGCCCCTCTGCCTCTCACCCTCACTTGCCTCCTTCAACGAACGGTTTCAAGACCTTTTTTGACTGTGCCTTCGATCATCTTCCCCCCTCCCCTTCCACCCCTCCCCTTCCACCCCTCCTTGCCCTCCATCCTCCGTATCCCAAACCCTGACTCAGGTGCAAACCCCTCATTGTCCGTTGCCTTGGGACATCGTCCCTACGTGAAAGGCAATTTATTTTTGTTGTTGTCACTGCTTGTTAGCAGTTTCCTCTAAGGTGTAGTGACTGTATTCTGTGAGTGAAATGTGGCAGCCAATTGCACACAGCAGCGTCCCCATAAACAGTCGTGGATTGAGCGACCAAATTATTATTGTTTAATTATGTGAAGGGATTATTACCGATGATCCGCCAATTGACTAATCACCGGTTCCTACTCACTGCTGGTAACCAGGGGTGTGGAGTGAGGGAACTCGCCTCAGGTTTCACCCCCTGCCCGGGAATCAAACCCGGGTCCTCTCGCTTGCGAGACGAGGGCTCTAACCTCTATGCTATGGGATTCCACATATAAAAGATGGGACTTTTTATTGCCACAAAATTGATGCGTTTCCAAAGATGGGAGAGATTGACCAGTCAGGCGCTCTGTAGAGGACAATTAATTGTGGCTTTGGTGTCCTGTGATTTATCTGCTGAGGGTGGTTTATGGAGAGATTTGATGTGTTTGATCGCTCCCTGTGTCGTTCTCTGGGGAACCTTTGGACTCAAATGTCAAACCTTCAATTAATATTCCACCACCTCACTGGGCAGCTGTTTAATGAAAACTACAGCAGCTTCTCTCATCATTTCCAACCGCTGGCTCAGTGATAGGGCTCTCCCCGCTGAGTCAGACGGTTGTGGATCCCAATTTTGTTTGGAGGATTGTTGGCCACGAGAGAGAAGCTCCCTTCTCATAAGAACGTTATTTCAGCTCAATATTGTCCCTTTAATACAGCCCAGCATCTGGTTTGCCTTTGAGGGCCGTGGGGGAGCGACCAGCACGACACAATGGGGAGAGAGAGCGCAGGTTAGAAGGAGGGGAGAGCTCAGAGCAGTGGGAGATTAGAGGTAATTTCTCTCTCCGTCTTTTACTGTGGGTGTGGGGGTGTTTGTCTCTTGCTCTGTGTGTGGGTGCTCCGAGTGAGGGGTGAGGCGGGTGGGCTAATCATTACGCTACAGGACTCTACCTTCTGCCTCGGCACATCCAAAAGCATTATATAAATGCAAATTGTGCTGCCCTGTGTGTGTCAGTCTGTGTGTGTGTGTGTGTCAGTCGCTCTCTCTCTCTCTCTCTCTCTCTCTCTCGCTGTGTACCTGTCTGTGTGCCAGTATCTCTCACTGGGTCCGTGTCAGTCTCTCTCTTACTGTGTGTGTGTGTCAGTCTCTCTCTCTCTCACTGTGTGTGTGTCTCTGTGTGTGTGTCAGTCTCTCTCTCTCTCTCTCGCTCTCTGTGTGTGTGTGTGCGTGTATGTCTTTGCTGACATGTACCGCCATGCTGCGTGTTGTGGCTGTGGTCCTGCGAATGCCCAGAGGGTGAGGAACAAAAGTGCGTGTGGGTCCTGTTGCCGGCTATTGTGTTGTGTCTGGCTGGGAGCTGGGCCAGGAGATCAGGTGTCAGTCACTGCCTCTCCTCCTCTCCTCCTCTCCCCCGCGCTGGGACTCGCTGGCATTCACCATCGACACTGCGTCTGACATCCGTGGTGTGGCTGGAGTCTGGGGAGCGGTGCGGTCAGCAATGGGCTGGCGTTAGAGGCAAAGGGTCAACGATAAAGGCTGTAGGTATTGGGACCTCTCCAACTCCACCCTCACTGCCCCCTAACTCTCCTGATCCCAAACCCCAGCTCCCTGACTGTCCGGCAGCTTGGGCCGTCCTCCTGACCTGAAAGGTTCTGAGTAAATGTAAATGTCATTTGTTGTTGTTGCCTCAACTGTCTTTTCTTCCCCACATCCAAGCCATGACCCGCTCTACCTTCCCTCACCTCCGTAACATCGCCCGACTCCGCCACTACCTCACCCCTCAGGCGCTGAAACTCTTGTTCATGCCTTCATCACCTCCAGGCTCGACTATGCCAACGCCCTGCGTGTCGGCCTTCCCAACTCCTCCCTCCACAGCTGCAGGTAATCCAGAACTAACTCTGCAGCCCATGTCCTCTCCCGCACCAAACCCCATCTCCCCCACTCTCGCTCGACTCCATTGGCTCCCTATCCTTCAGAGGATCCAGTTCAAAATCCTGGTCCTCACCTACAAAACCCTCCATGGCCTCGCCCCACCCTACCTCTGTGACCTCCTAACCCCCTACCAACCCGCCCGCTCCCTCCGCTCAGCCGGCTCTGGCTGCCCCACATCCCCCGACCCACCCGCCCCACCATTGGCGGGAGAGCCTTCAGGCACTCTGCCCCCAACCTCTGGAGTTCTATCCCCCAGTCACTCCGCCTCAACCCCTCCTCAGCCTCCTTCAAGTCCCGCCTCAAGACCCTCCTCTTTCACCATACCATCGGTCACCTTCCCTTCCCCTCCCCTCCCCTCCCCTCCCTTACCCCCCCAACCCCAGCTCGGGTCTGAAGTGCTGTCACTGTCCAGTGCCTTGGGACATCCTCCCGACGTGAAAGGCGCTATATGCATGGAATCTTGTTGTTGTTGTGGATTGTGTCGGCCATTATCTGGGGATTGTTGTCCAGGACACCGGGAGAGAGAGAGAAACTCCCTTCTCTTTCCCAGTAGCCCCGCGGGATCTTTAACATCCACCTGAACAGGTACAGACGGGGAGTGAGGGTTAACGTCTCATCTGAAGGATTTTGTGGGTGTTCTGTGTTTTCTGTGCGAGTCTATGAAGAGCAAGTGAAGGGAAGTGAAAGCTGTGGCTGAATTTCCTTACGGCTAAGCGAGCAGAGTCCTGTGTGAGCAGCCGTTGTGTGTGTAAAAGAATAAGTTTACGAGGTTGAGATCTGATAGCCTGACCTTTACTGCACTGACAGAGTGGCTTCAGGAACCCATCAATGTAAATATTCTCCAGTTTGTTGCAACTAATTTTCCAGCTGAGATAAACTAGCCTTGGATTGTGTCCAGCGGCTGTGAGGCACGGCTGGGAGACAGACTCTCAAGGTTTTAGAGTTCTCTCCCCCAATCCCTCCACCTTGCCCCCTAATGCCCCTCTTTATATCATGACTGAAGACCTTCCTCTTTGATTGAGCTCACGATCACCTTCTCCCTCCCTCTGGCTCAGCATCAGGCTCCGCCACTGTCAAGCTCCCCGAGGGCTGCCGACATGAGGGTGCTGTGTAAATGCATGTTGTTGTTGTAATAATCTTGGTTTAATGCCGGACCTCATTACGTTGTGAAGACGTTTCATAGTGCTTTACAGGAGCTTGCTGTGAAGTGTAGTGACTGTGTTTTGTAGGTGAAATGCAGCAACCAATTTGCTCAGCAACGTCCCCACAAACAGCCATGAAGTGAATAAACCAATTTTAATTATTTAAGACTGAATAATGATTCCTATTTGATATTGTGCTTTTCATCTCAGGAGGGCTCCATACACTGTAAGGACTGTATCTGGGGGATAGTCGGCAGGACCCCGGGAGAGGATCTTTAACATCCACCTGAATAGGCCCAGACTGGGCCTTGGTTTTACATCTCATCCAAATGATGGCAACTCCAGCAATATAGCACCTTCCCCCCCCCCCCCCCCCCCGCGTCCCGCCCTGGATTGGAGCATCAGATGGTCTGTCAGCTCAGAGACCTGTTGTGGGGGCTTGAACCCACAAGAGAGTGAGAGAAGGAAGAGGTGCAGTTGGGACCATCAACACCAGCTGTGACCAACAGAGGGAGGTCTGGAGGCTTCATTATAATAATAATAATTTGGTCACTCAACCCACGACTGTTTGAGGGGACGCTGCTGTGCACAATTGGCTGCCGGGTTTAACCCCAAAATACACAGTCAATTCACTTTACAGTGTATCAAGTGAAGTGCTTTGAGACGTCTCGAAGACGTGATGAGGTGGTATAACAAATGGCAGAATTATTATTATTATTAGGATTATAATTCCTCAGTCCTTTTGGGCTGATTGGCTTCACTGGATCCCGTCCCCAGATCATATCCAACCACAATGTACAATGCTCCCTTCTGATCGTGCCCCCACCCCTCAGGACCTGACCCACCCCTCAGGACCTGACCCACCCCTCAGGACCTGACCCACCCCTCAGGACCTGACCCACCCCTCAGGACCTGACCCACCCCTCAGGACCTGACCCACCCCTCAGGACCTGACCCATCCCCACCTGGCCTGCCCACAGGTGGTTGGGGGTCTTCCATCATTTCTGCCCCACTCTCCCTCCCAATGACCCTCTGCCCCGCCTTCTCGCCCTCCCCCTCCCCACCACTAAAACCCACCTCAAAGTCGGATTCTCTAACCAATGCTTTTAGCCACTTTTATCCCCAGTTCAGGTCCAAATCCCTGACTGTCCAGCGCCAGCACCGTGGGACCTCCTCCCGACATGAAAGCCGCTGTGTGTAAATGTCACTTTGTTTTGTATTGTCTACCCCCCCCTCGCGCGCCCCCCCACAGCACAATGCCCCCCCCACAGCACAATGCCCCCCCCACAGCACAATGCCCCCCACAGCACAATGCCTCCCCCACCGCTGCCCTCCCCCCCACCGCTGCCCCTCCCCCCACCGCTGCCCCTCCCCCCCACCGCTGCCCCCTCCACCCCACGCTGCCCCTCCCCCCCACCGCTGCCCCCTCCCCCCCACCGCTGCCCCTCCCCCCACCGCTGCCCCCTCCCCCACCGCTGCCCCCTCCCACCATTACCCCACTGGTGACTTTGGGTTCTGGTGACTCTATGAATCGTTTTGAAAATTTCCTTCTGACCTGAAAGGCTGTAGTACAAATGTCAATTTTGTGTGTATCTCTTTCATATATACCTGTGTCACTCCCTGTGTGCATGTGTGCATGTGTGCGTGCGCGTGTGCACGTGTGTGTGTGCACGTGTGTGCGTGTGTGCACGTGTGTGCGTGTGTGCACGTGTGTGCGTGTGTGCACGTGCGTGTGTGTGCGTCTTTTTCTGTGTGTCTGTCTCTCTTGGTCTATCTCTAAGTCTGTGAGTGTGTGTCTCTCTCTGTGTCTCTCTCTCCCGCTGTGTGTGTCTCTCTCTCTCTCTCTCTCTTTCTCTCGCTGTGTGTCTCTCTCTCTCACACTGTGTGTGTGTGTCCGTCTCTCTCTCGCTGTGTCCCTCTCTCTCTCGCTGTGTCTCTCTCTCTCTCGCTGTGTCTCTCTCACTCTCGCTGTGTCTCTCTCACTCTCGCTGTGTCTCTCTCTCTCTCTCGCTGTGTGTCTCTCTCTCTCTCTCTGTGTCTCTCTCTCTCTCGCTGTGTCTCTCTCACTCTCGCTGTGTCTCTCTCTCTCTCGCTGTGTCTCTCTCTCTCTCGCTGTGTCTCTCTCTCTCGCTGTGTCTCTCTCACTCTCGCTGTGTCTCTCTCTCTCTCTCTCGCTGTGTGTCTCTCTCTCTCTCTCTCTCACGCTGTGTCTCTCTCTCTCTCGCTGTGTCTCTCTCTCTCTCGCTGTGTCTCTCTCTCTCTCGCTGTGTCTCTCTCGCTCTCGCTGTGTCTCTCTCTCTCTCTCGCTGTGTCTCTCTCACTCTCGCTGTGTCTCTCTCTCACTCTCGCTGTGTCTCTCACTCTCGCTGTGTCTCTCTCTCACTCTCGCTGTGTCTCTCTCACTCTCGCTGTGTCTCTCTCACTCTCGCTGTGTCTCTCTCTCGCTGTGTCTCTCTCACTCTCGCTGTGTCTCTCACTCTCGCTGTGTCTCTCTCACTCTCGCTGTGTCTCTCTCTCACTCTCGCTGTGTCTCTCTCTCTCTCGCTGTGTCTCTCTCTCTCGCTGTGTCTCTCTCTCTCGCTGTGTCTCTCTCTCTCGCTGTGTCTCTCACTCTCGCTGTGTCTCTCTCTCTCGCTGTGTCTCTCTCTCTCGCTGTGTCTCTCTCTCTCGCTGTGTCTCTCTCTCTCGCTGTGTCTCTCTCTCTCTCGCTGTGTCTCTCTCTCTCGCTGTGTCTCTCTCTCTCGCTGTGTCTCTCTCTCTCGCTGTCTCTCTCTCTCGCTGTGTCTCTCTCTCTCGCTGTCTCTCTCTCTCGCTGTGTCTCTCTCTCTCGCTGTGTCTCTCTCACTCTCGCTGTGTCTCTCTCACTCTCGCTGTGTCTCTCTCACTCTCGCTGTGTCTCTCTCTCTCTCGCTGTGTCTCTCTCACTCTCGCTGTGTCTCTCTCACTCTCGCTGTGTCTCTCTCACTCTCGCTGTGTCTCTCACTCTCGCTGTGTCTCTCTCACTCTCGCTGTGTCTCTCTCACTCTCGCTGTGTCTCTCTCTCACTCTCGCTGTGTCTCTCTCTCTCTCTCGCTGTGTCTCTCTCTCACTCTCGCTGTGTCTCTCTCTCTCTCGCTGTGTCTCTCTCTCTCTCGCTGTGTCTCTCTCACTCTCGCTGTGTCTCTCTCACTCTCGCTGTGTCTCTCTCTCTCGCTGTGTCTCTCTCTCTCTCGCTGTGTCTCTCTCTCACTCTCGCTGTGTCTCTCTCACTCTCGCTGTGTCTCTCTCTCGCTGTGTCTCTCTCTCTCGCTGTGTCTCTCTCTCTCGCTGTGTCTCTCTCTCTCTCGCTGTGTCTCTCTCTCTCTCGCTGTGTCTCTCTCTCTCTCGCTGTGTCTCTCTCTCTCGCTGTGTCTCTCTCTCTCGCTGTGTCTCTCTCTCTCGCTGTGTCTCTCTCTCTCGCTGTCTCTCTCTCTCGCTGTGTCTCTCTCGCTGTGTCTCTCTCTCTCGCTGTGTCTCTCTCACTCTCGCTGTGTCTCTCACTCTCGCTGTGTCTCTCTCTCTCTCGCTGTGTCTCTCTCTCTCGCTGTGTCTCTCTCTCTCGCTGTGTCTCTCTCTCTCTCGCTGTGTCTCTCTCTCTCGCTGTGTCTCTCTCTCTCGCTGTGTCTCTCTCTCTCTCGCTGTGTCTCTCTCTCTCGCTGTGTCTCTGTGTGACTGACCCTCTCTGTCTGTCTGTGTGTGTGTCGCTCTCCCTCTCTGTCTCTCTCTCGCTCTCGCTGTACAGTGTCTCCCCTGAGTCAGTCCCTGCCCTGTTTGTGGTGCGTTAGTAATTAATTAGTGAGTGTGAGCGGATTACAGCCTCTCCTGGTGTGGGAACTGGTCGCTGTGACGCTGAGAGACCCACGTGAACCAGTGATCGTCTCATTAGGATTAACCAGCGCAGCTCACCGTGGGTTTGTACCGGCCCCTGACCCACTGTGGACCCGTTTCCCCCCTCTCCCCCCCCCTCCCGTCGAAGCCCTCCCCTCGATCTCCCCTCCGCAGCCCCTCGGTGTGAGAGCCCCCACCCCCCGGCCAGGCCGGCTTTCCCAGCCTTGCTCAGGGCTGTTCCTGTCTCGCCGAGCGACCCATCACCCATCTCACTAATGAGATCCGTCTGACTGTCTGACTGTCTGCTGTCTGCTGTCTCTCCACCCTTACAGGTCTGTGGTCAATGTCCAGTCAAGTCTCTGTATTCTTTGTGTAACAACAACAACAATAATAATCCCGGCATTTGATACAGAGCCTCATCACATCTCGAGACGTCTCAAAGCGCTTCACAGGATACACTATAAAGTGAATTGACTGTATATTTGTGGGTGAAACGCAGCAGCCAATTGCCCACAGCAGCGTCTGTCCCACAGACAGCCGTGGGTTGAGTGACCAAATTATTATTGTTTATTTTTTTGAAGAGATTATTAACCCCAGAAAGTGATCCACCGATCGACAAACAGCCGGGTTCCTACTTGCTGCTGCGTGGCTAATGCCCCGAAACCCTGTCCCTCTGTCCCTCCGTCTTGCCACCTCCTCCCCCATTTTCTGGTCGCACCTCTTCCCCCTCCCCGGCTCGGTGTCGTGCTCCGCCACTGCCCTGTGTGAGGGGCGCTGTATAAATGTGCTGTGGTGTTGTTGTTGGTGACGGTAGAAAACAGAGGCGAGTGGACTGAGGAAACGTGTACAAGTGTAATTTTGTTGTTGTTGTTGTGGGTTTCACACCCACCACCGGGGAATGGAACCTGAGCCCTTTTACACAAGACACCAAGTCAGACCCCCACAGACTGCACTGTGACAGGGTGGGACGCACAGTGGGTGGGAGGTGACTGTAGACAAGGTCGATGAAGTAGGTTTTGGGGTGGGATTTAAAGAGGGAGACAGAGGGGGAGACCTGGTGTGGGGGGTGGGGAGGGAGGGGTCGGAAGCCGGGGAGAGGAGGGGGACTGAGGGGTTAGGTGTGGGCCACACACTCATTCTCTTTGTCCTTCACTGGCAGGTTTTCACATGTTGGTCCCCAATAAGGTCTGACCTGGAGCCATGGTCATTCTGCGGCAGGTGAGCTTATGTTGTTGTTGTTGTTGTTGCTGTGTGTGTAACTTGAGTTACCCTGTGTGAGGACGCTATTTATTACAAGTTGTTGTTGTAACCTCTAACTTGTCAGTTGCCCTATCTGCCCTCTGACTCTCTTTAAATACCACCGTGTACTGTACAGTCCTGTAGCTCAGTGGTTAGAGCCCTCGCCGGGCAGCGAGAGGACCTGGGTCTGATTCCCTGGCGGGACAGGACAGGACAGGACAGGACAGGGTGAAACCTGAGACAAGTTTCCTTACCCCACACACCCGCCTCTGTTTACAGCAGTAAGTAGTTGTTAGTCGATTGGAGGATCACTTTCTGAGGGTAATAATCCCTTCAAAAACAAACAAAAAAAGAAATTGTGGTCACTCAATCCAAACTGTCTGTGGGACAGACGCTGTTGTGCGCAATTGTCTGCCGCGTTTCACCCACAAATATACAGTCAGTTCACTTTACAGTCTATCCTGTGAAGCACTTTAAGACGTCTCAGTTATGTGACCCAGTGTGACCCCCGACCCCTTTTGGGCCGGTGGCTGAGGACCTGAAAGTCCACCTGGTCCTCACCTGTGAAACACTTTTTTCAAACTTGATTTTATTTGTGAATCAGTTCAGAACAACAACATTTACACCTCATCCCTCACGAGGGTTAATGTCCCCGAGCCTCCGACTGACCATAACTCAGACCCTGGTTGAAGGGAAACGTCTTGAGACGGGGTCTTGAAGGAGGGGAGGGAGTCATAGTGGGGGGTCGGGGGTCGGGGGGATTTCCAGTTGGATGTGACAATTATTTTTTATTCAATCACATTGTTCTGTGGGATGAAAGTGGGAGTTTCCTGGGAACTGAGCAGCGACAGCACAATGGGAATGTGGGAGGGAGCCCCGACATACTGAGGTCAATGAGTGTGAGTGAGTGAGTGCGTGAGTGTGAGTCTCTCTCTCTCTCTCTCTCTCTCTCGCACACACAGCTCAAGGTTAAACATTCCAGTCTCTCAGTCTTGGTCTCCTTCCCACTCACACAATGACCCCCACTCTCTCTTCTCCCCCCACTCCCTCCTTCTCTTCTTTCCTCCTCAGTTTTAATGAACAAATAGAAAATGAGGGAAGAGACAGTAATGAAACACTAATTGCGTGTGTGTGTGTGTGTGGGGGGGGGTGTGTGGGGGGTGGGGGGGGTGCGAGGTGGGGGCTGTCAGTAGAATGTGTGGCAGTAACAGTGAATTCACAGTGACAGCAGCCGTGACAATACCAGTCGCGAGACTGGCCTTTCACCAGCAAAACGCTCAGATAAAACTCCATCATGTGGCACAGGTCCCTCGCGCTCTCCCTCGCGCTCTCCCTCGCGCTCTCCCTCGCGCTCTCCCTCGCGCTCTCCCTCGCGCTCTCCCTCGCGCTCTCCTCGCGCTCTCCCTCGCGCTCTCCCTCGCGCTCTCCCTCTCTCCCTCCCTCTCTCCCTCGCCTTCCCCTCTGAGTCCCATCCCCCAAGTTATTTTGTGATGCGTGAAAGGTCAGGTCCAGGACTGATTGCGTTTGGGAAGAGTTGAACAAGAGTCAATTAGGACAATTACCATATAGATTGGATGAGGTGTGGGGGAGGGGGCGCTGGAGCTGATCTGATTAATATAATGATCCTGGTATTTGACACAGCGCCTTATCACATCATCGCGCCGTCTCAAAGCGCTTCACATTTATTATGCTATTATATATTTATTATATTAATTTGTATTCACACTGTAAAGTGTAGTGACTGTATATTTTGTGGGTGAAACGCGGCAGCCAATTGCGGGGTCCCCACAAACAGTCGTGGATTGAGTGACCAATTTTTATTTGAAGGGATTATTATCCCCGGAAAGTGATCCACCAATCGAGTAACAACCTACTCACTGCTGGTAGACAGAGGGGTGTGGAGTGAGGTTCCTCCCGCCCGGGAATCCAGGCGGACGCGGTAACCATTCCGCTACTCCCCAGATTCCTGCAGAGTTGCGCACGCGCTCTCTCTCTCTCTCTCTCTCTCTCGCACACCATCTCCGCGTTGAAATATTTAAGGAGGGTAAGGACACACTGTGGGGACGGTGGAGAGCAGGTGGAGGTATAAATGATTCACACAGCCCTTTGTTGAGAGCAAAGTAACGGATCCATTCGAATTTATTTAAGAAGTGCCTTCTCTCCTCCTCTCCCCCCCACTCCCCACCCGGTATGGTGATAGGTTGTGCAGTGAACAATATCCACCCTCTCTCTATCTCTCTCTCTCTGGGGTGGGGTGGATTCTGGTTCCTCAGTTAGTCAGTCAGGGGGTTTGAGCTCGGAGATTGGGGAAGTGTTGGGAAGTTGCAGAGTCTCCTCCTACTGACTGGACAATGGGGAGATGACCGCGAGAATGAGGTCTTGTGGTCAGCTCCTTCCTCTCTGACCAAACCACCCTGCAGAGGAGGAGGAGGAGGAGGTGTTTTATTGACCTGACGAGACATCTACCACTGTCCTGGACCTGACTGACACTCACCACGTGGCCTGTGGGACCTTCTGGATTGTGACCAGGAATTTTGGAGGAATTAGGTTTTTTTTATTTGGAAGAGGGGAAGGGGAAAGGGAGGGGGAGGGGAGGAGAGAGCCACCTCGAAGTGGGGGTGGGGGGGGGGGAAGAGCAATGCACCGTCACCATCACCGTGGAGTGGAGGAAGACGTAGACCAGAAGGATGAGGGGAAGTGGGCTCTGCTGCGTAATGTCAGCCAAGTGGTCAGACAGCACACCCTGCTCCCGGTAAGCCCTTCCCCCGCTCCGTCACCCCTCCAAACCGATCCCCTCCCCCCCCACACCCCACAACCTGCTCCCTCCACCGCCCGCACCCACTCCCCTCTCCCCTGCTCCCCTCCCCCACACTAAACTCCAGCCCCCCATCACCCCAGCCCTCGCCAGGTTCCATTGGCCCCCTATTGCTGTACCCTCTGCTCCACCATTGGTGGCTGTGCTAACTGTGGCTAACCCTAACCCCTAACCCTAACCCCTAACCCCTAACACTCTGGAGCACTCTCCCCCTATCCCTCCCCCATCTTCAGTTTGTGCCTGAAGACCTTCCTCGTTGACCGTGTGTACGGTCACCTCCGCTCCCCCTCCTCCCCCCCTCCCCCCCACTGTCAAACGCTCTGGGACGTTACCCTGTTTAAGCACCAGTCCCCCCCCACTCAGGCCCCCCCCCCACCCCCCAGCTCGCAGTGTCTCTCTGTGTGTCTCTGTCTGTGTGTTTGTCTGTGTGTGAGTGTGTATCTCTCTCTGTGTCTCTCTGTGTGTCTCTGTATCTGTGTGTTTGTATCTGTGTATATGTATCTGTGTGTGTGTGTCTCTCTCCGTGTCTCTGTGTGTGTGTGTGTGTGTGTGTGTGTCTCTCTCCGTGTCTCTGTGCGTGTGTGTGTGTCTCCCTCTCTGACTATGTATGTGTCACTCGTCTCTCTCTCTGTGTCTATGTGTGCGTCTCTGTCTCTCTGTGTGTGTGTCTCTGTGCGTGTGTGTGTCTCTCTGTGTGTCTGTGTATAGTCTCTCTGTGTGTCTGCGTTTCTCTCTGTACCTGTGTTCTCTCTCTGTGTGTCTGTATGTGTGTGTCTGTGTGTGTCTGTATGTGTGTGTCTGTGTGTGTCTGTATGTGTGTGTCTGTGTGTGTCTGTATGTGTGTATCTCTGTGTGTGTGTCTGTATGTGTGTGTCTGTGTGTGTCTGTATGTGTGTCTCTGTGTGTGTGTCTCTGTGTGTGTGTCTCTGTGCGTGTGTGTGTCTCTGTGCGTGTGTGTGTGTCTCTGTGCGTGTGTGTGTCTCTGTGCGTGTGTGTGTGTCTCTCTGTGTGTCTGTGTATAGTCTCTGTGTGTCTGCGTTTCTCTCTGTACCTGTGTTCTCTCTCTCTGTGTGTCTGTATGTGTGTGTCTGTATGTGTGTGTCTGTATGTGTGTGTCTGTGTGTATCTCTGTGTGTGTCTGTATGTGTGTGTCTCTGTGTGTGTCTCTGTGTGTGTCTGTATGTGTGTGTCTCTGTGTGTGTCTGTGTGTGTGTCTCTGTTGGTGTGTGTCTCTGTGTTTGTCTGTATGTGTGTGTCTCTGTGTGTGTGTGTGTGTGTGTCTCTCTGTGTGTGTCTCTGTGTGTGTCTGTATGTGTGTGTCTGTGTGTGTCTGTATGTGTGTGTCTCTGTGTGTGTCTCTGTGTGTGTCTGTATGTGTGTGTCTCTGTGTGTGTATGCGTGTGTCTCTGTTGGTGTGTGTCTCTGTGTGTGTCTGTGTGTGTGTGTCTCTGTGTGTGTCTGTGTGTGTGTCTCTGTGTGTGTCTGTATGTGTGTGTCTCTGTGTGTGTGTGTCTCTGTGTGTGTCTGTATGTGTGTGTCTCTGTGTGTGTGTGTCTCTGTGTGTGTCTGTGTGTGTGTGTCTCTGTGTGTGTCTGTGTGTGTCTCTGTGTGTGTCTGTATGTGTGTGTCTCTGTGTGTGTGTGTCTCTGTGTGTGTCTGTATGTGTGTGTCTCTCTGTGTGTGTCTCTGTGTGTGTGTGTATGTGTGTGTCTCTGTGTGTGGGTGTGTTGTCACTGCTGTGTGTTGAGGGAGACTCGGCTATCGGTGTTGTTCTGGGACTCTCTCTCCTCTGTGTGACGGACACTATAAATGCTGTTGTTGTTGTGGGGTCGGATGTGGTCCTTGTCTCGTGCGGTGACTGTACTACACAGAGCTCAACAGGCGCCAACATGATAAATAATTTACCCCGAGGCTGCGGCCTACAGTGTTTTGTTACCATTTAGCAGCATTGCACATCACTTTCACACGGGGTCTTCCACACGGCTGATCGGGGGGTGGGGGGGGGGGGGGGGCGCTGGGACGAGAGGATAGAAGTGAGGTCACTAACATCACAGTGAAAAGATAATAATAACAATCCTCGCATTTGATATAGCGCCTTATCACGGCTTCTCGATGCCTCAGAATGCTTCAAAGTTCTTTTGGAAACAGACATTTGGAAGTAAAGAGGTTTTTTTATTGCAGCCGTGTCTGACACACACGGAAACCCGTCACCGTGACCGGCCGCGTGTCCAACACACACGGAAACCCGTCACCGTGACCGGCCGGGTGTCTGACACACACGGAAACCCGTCACCGTGACCGGCCGCGTGTCTGACACACACGGAAACCCGTCACAGTGACCGGCCGCGTGTCCAACACACACGGAAACCCGTCACCGTGACCGGCCGCGTGACCAGTCGGGTGTCTGACACACACGGAAACCCGTCACCGTGACCGGCCGCGTGTCTAACACACACGGAAACCCCCTCCTTACCTAATTCCGGAGAGTATTAGGCACAGGTTGGCGAGAGCCAAGGCTTGGGGGGGGCCCAGAGTGTGTGTTGGGGTAACTGCTGGAGTCTAACCGGCTAAACCGCATAGTTTGCCATTGATATCACTAACTGCCAAGCTTTCCCGCTGCTTGTCCAGCGAGGACCTCCCTCCCTGTTTGGGTTTGGCTGTGGGGTTACCAGGAGCTGAGGGGGAGGATTTCCTGCCCCCAGTGATGGGGGAAGCAAGGCAGAGGGACGTGGGGAGAGAGTTCCAGAGAGTTTGGGTTAAGGTGATTGTGGAGTAGGACAGAGCTGGCAAAGGAGAAGGAGTGACGGGATCAGAGTCACAGGGGTCGAGATGGGCCGCAGGAGAGTGAGTTTCGAGTAACAACAACAACAAATGATATTTACACACCGTCAGGAGGACATCCCAAGATGCTGGACAGTCAGGGATATGGACCTGAGCTGGGGGTGGGGAACAGGAGAGGGTGGAGGGCAGGGAGGGTGGGAGGGTGACTGAAGGAGTAGTCGAAGAGGGTGATCTTGAGACTTACCTTGAGGGAGGCAGGTGAGGGGTCGTGGTGGAGGGACTGCGAGTTCCAAAGCAGGTGTGGACTTTCTCTTTGACCGTGCCTTCAGCTCCCCTCTCGACTCTCTTCCTCCTCCTCGCTCCCTCCCTTCCCTCCCCTCACCCTGACCATTTCCCCCCTCCTCTCTCCCTCCCTTCCCTCCCCTCACCCTGACCATTTCCCCCCTGCTCGGGTCATGACCCAACTGTGCAGCGCCTTGGGACGTCCTCCTGACGTGAAAGGCGCTCTATAAATGGAATCTTGTTGTTGTTGTTGTTGTTGTTCCTGTTTAGTAAAGCTCTCCAGCCCGGGTCAGTGGTGGAGCTCTCAACTCTGAGTCAGAAGGTTATGGGTTCAAACCCCACCTCACACGGGGACAGTCCAGGCTGCAGCACAGTGCTGGGGGTCATGGTGGGATGGGGGGAGCGCTGTATTTTCAGAGATATTTAAACTTTGGTCCCGTCTGTGCCCTGTGTCGCTATTTGGAAAGAGAAGGGAGTTTCTCTCTCTCTCTCTCTCCCCCCCGGTGTCCTGGCCAACAATCCCCCAGAGAAAAAAAATGGGGTCACTCACTCCACGACTGTTTGTGCAATTGGCTGCTGCGTTTCACCCACAAAACACACAACAACAACTTGCACTTATACAGCCCCTCCACACGGGGCGGCGACTCAGAGACTTAACAATGTGGAGCCCAAGGCCGAGCCCTGGGGAGGGGGCGGTGACTTTACCGTGTGTCCTGTGAAGCGCTTTGAGACGTCTTGACCATGTGATCAGATGTTGGGTCAAATACAAGGATTATTATTAGTATTTAACAGTGAATCCATCATCGATGTTTGAAACGTTTTAACACTGTAGATGTTGATTGTCAAATACGAGTGTTGTTTTATTTAGTGTCTGTTTCTCTTCCCCCCCACCCCGGCCATCCCCCCTCCACCCCGGCCATCCCCCCCCCCCCCACCCCCCCCCCGACCATCCCCACCCCCCACCGGCCACCCCCCCACCCGGCCACCCCCCCCCACCCCGGCCATCCCCCCCCACCCCGGCCATCCCCCCCCCACCCCGGCCATCCCCACCCCCCACCGGCCACCCCCCCACCCGGCCACCCCCCCCACCCCGGCCATCCCCCCCCACCCCGGCCATCCCCCCTCCACCCCGGCCATCCCCCCCCCAACCCCGACCATCCCCACCCCCCACCGGCCACCCCCCACCCGGCCACTCCCCCCCCGGCCACCCTCCCCCAGGGAGATTATGTCTGGTTGGATCTCAAGACCGGCCGGGAGTTTGATGTTCCCATCGGAGCTGTGGTCAAACTGTGTGACTCCGGGCAAATCCAGGTGCTGGACGATGAGGGGAATGTGAGTATTCTGGTCACTGTCTCTCTCTCTTTTAATCCCCCCCTCCCCCTCAGCCCTCCCTTCCCCCTCCCCCTCCCTCCTTAATAATAATAATAATCCTGGCACTTGACACGGAGCCTCATCACATCTTCGAGACGTCCCAAAGTGCTTCACAGGGTACACTATAAAGTGAATTGACTGTATACTTGTGGGCAAAACACGGCAGCAAATTGCACACAACAGCGTCACATGGACAGTCGTGGGTTGAAGTGACCAAATATTATTTTTAAAAAAATATTTTTGGAAGGGTTTTTTTTCCCCGGATCAGCGATCTGCCAATCAACTAACAACCGGGTTCCTACTCACTGCTGTTAACAGAGGTGTGTGGAGGAAGGAAACTTTCCTCAGGTTTCGCCCTGACCGGGAATCAAACCCGAGTCCTCTCGCTTGCGATGCGAGTGCTCTAACCCCTGACCCCCCGGCTCCACACCAACCCCCCGGCTCCACACCGACCCCCCGGCTCCACACCGCCCCCCCCCCGGCTCCACACCGACCCCCCCCCCCGGCTCCACACCGACCCCCCCCGGCTCCACACGACCCCCGGCTCCACACCGACCCCCCCCCCCAGCTCCACACCGACCCCCCCCCCCCGGCTCCACACCGACCCCCCCGGCTCCACACCGACCCCCAGTAATCCGGATAAAGCTCTTTGTGTATGCCTCTGCCCCAGGAACACTGGATCTCCCCCCAGAATGCCTGTAACATTAAGCCAATGCATCCGACCTCCATACACGGAGTGGAGGACATGATCCGACTCGGAGACCTCAACGAAGCTGGGATATTGCGCAATCTCCTCATCCGGTACCGGGACCACCTTATCTATGTGAGTACAAACCGTGTGTGTGGGCGGGGGCGACTGGGGGCGACTGGGTGGGGTGTTGGGGTGAGTGCTGCTTCCTAATGACTGTTGTAGGAAGAACACAACAACAACTTGCATTTGCACAGCGCTCCTCAGGCAGGGCAGCGTCCCAGAGCGCTTGACAGTGCGGTGGGGGGTGGGGGGGGCTACGGTACCGAGCTGAGGGGAGGGGTGCGGTGACCATAGGCACGGACAAAGAGGAAGGTCTTCAGGCGTGACCTGAAGATGGAGAAGGAAGGGGCGAGGCAGAGGGATAGAGGGAGAGGATCCCAGAGTTTTGGGGAGTAGTGACTAAAGGCACAGCTACTGATGGTGGAACGGAAAGGGGAATTGTATCCTCTTTTTGATTGGAGGAACACAGATTTTGTTCAGATGTGGAGACAGATTGTGCCCAATTGGCTGCCGTGTTTCGCCCACAAAATATGGAAGGGAGTTTCTCTCTTTCTCTCTCTCTCTCTCTCTCTCTCTCTCTCTCCTGGTGTCCTGGCCAACAATCTCCTAAATAAGATTGATCACTCAATATATCACTGTTTGTGGGATGTCGCTGTGGCTTCCGGGTTTCACCCAAAATACACACAGTTACTACACTTTACGGTATACTGGAGTCCTGTAGCTCAGTGGTTAGAGCCCTCGCCTCGCAATCAAGAGGACGAGGGTTTGATTCCCAGGCAGAGAAAGCTCCGGCAAGTTTCCTCACTCCACGCGCCTCCTCGCACTTACCAGCAGTAAATTGTTAGTCCATTGACTGCCACTTTTCCTTCACAAAATATAATAAATTTGTCACTTCAATCTACAGCTGTTTGTGGGACAGACGCTGCTGTGCACAATTGGCTGCCGTGTTTCACCCACAAAATACACAGTTACCACACTTTATATTCGGTGAAGCGCTTTGAGACGTCTTGAAGGCGTGTTAAGGCGCTGTATCAAATGTCAGGATTATTATTACTACTATTAAATATTATTAGTGGGTTAAGCTTGGAGGTAATATAAAATATTATATAAAATCCGCCTCCCCCAGGCTATTATAGGGGAAAATGCTGCCACCTTGTGGGATTATCCGGGCTCAGTCACTGCCTTCAATACACCTTGGATTTGATACAGTACCTTATCATGTCTTCAAGACGTCTCAAAACGCTTCACAGAATATTCCGTTTGTGGGACAGACGCTGCTGCGCTGCTGCGTTTCACCCACAAATATACAGTCAATTCACTTTACAGTAAATCCTGTGAAGCGCTTTGAGATGTCTCAACGATGTGATAAGGCACTATAACAAATGATAGGATTAATATTCTTTAATGGAGCTGAACATGTCTCATCGACTGAAGACGGCCCGACTATTGCTGTTTCTTTGAGGCCTGGGAAGACGTAGCTCGATATTCCACAGGTTAGGTCTCCTCACTGATTCCCTGGGATCTTCCCGAACCTGCCAACGCTCTGACATTAAAAACCTCACAACTATTTCTAATCCCCAAATCCAGTGACAAAGATTTTGCTTTGACTGAAACCCGTCACCATGATTGAAAGTCTCTGACTATCCGTTTTTGGGGGGAGGGGGAGGAGGGGGAAGTTAAGCAGATTCTTCTTGAAGCTGAACTGGCCCCAAGGTGACATATTTGCCAATGAAGTGTGGGAATCGCTCCCCCCCTCTGTGCCGGTCTCTAGTCCCGGTTCCTGAGCCAGGAGGGCACTCACTGCTGATGGCAGCACAGCCCGGCCCGGCTCATCAGCAGGACCTGGAAGGGCCGACCAGTCACTGGGGGCAGCGAATCCTCCCCCTCAGCTCCTGGTAACCCCACAGCCAAAGCCCTAACGGGGAGGGGGGTCCTCGCTGGACAAGCAGCGGGAAAGCTTGGCCAGACAGCGATAGCAATGGCCAAGCTGTGTGGGTTTAGCCGGTTAGACTCCAGCAGTTACCCCAACACACACTCTGGGCCCCCCCAAGCCTTGGCTCTCACCAACCTGCGCCTAATACTTTACGGAGTTAGTTAAACAGGATGTGTCCCTCCACAGACACAGAGAGAGAGAACATCCCATTACTGCAATCTCTCTCTCTGGGATTTCCAGGTGTAGGTGGGAGGTGTAGAATTCTCAGTTAGATTTGGAGACTCTTAAGCAACGGTGATGCCCCTAAAACTCTCCAGAATTAGGAAGTTTCCATGTGTAGGTGGAAGTACAGATGTGGGATTTTGGTTTGGATTCTCTTAAGCTCAGTGAACATATATATATATGAGGAGGTTAGTTAAACAAGGCCACTCGCCCCCAGGAAATGGAATCTTCCTCCTCAGACCTGGCTGTCCTCTATCTTGTTGTGTGTGTCTGGACGTCAGCTGGTTTTTAATTAAACTAGAGGAATGCATTCTGCAGCTTTGTCCTGTATTTTTTCTCTGGAAAGTGAATTGTCTGATGATATTTTGCGGGCGAAACGTGGCAGCCAATTGAGCACAGCAGCATCCCCACAAACAGTCGTGTAGCGACTGACCAATTTTATTGGGGGATTGGGGCCAGGACACTGGGAGAGAGAGGGAAACTCCCTTCTGTTTTTGAGTAGAGCCGTGGGATCTTTAACGTCTACCCGACAGACACAGACAGGACCTCGGTTTATAAGCCCGGCCCAATCAGGGAGAAACTGATACTAAAATTAATAACCTGGTTGAAGGATGTACTTCATACATGTTATGTGGACATTAATAAATAATAGATTAAGTAACCCAATCCCAGGCGGCGGTGTAGGTTTACAAGGATATTACCGGTGATGAGTGCACACAGCTATCAGGAACGATTGGACAGGTCGAAGAATTTCTCTCTGGAGAAATGATGATGAGTTACATTTACACAGCGCCCTTCACACAGGCCAGTGTCTCGGAGCATTTAACAAGCGGAGCCTGACATCGAGCCGCGGGCGGGGGGGGAGGTGACCCTGAGCACGGTGGAAGAGGAAGGTCTTCAAGCGTAATCTAACAACAACAACAAGATTTCATTTATAGAGTACCTTTCACGTCAGGAGGACGTCCCAAGGTGCTGGACAGTTGGGTTGGGACCCGAGGAGGGGGGAAATGGTCAGGGTGAGGGGAGGGAAGGGAGGGAGCGAGGAGGGGGGAAATGGTCAGGGTGAGGGGAGGGAAGGGAGGGAGCGAGGAGGGGGTAGAGAGTCGAGAGGGGAGCTGAAGGCTGAAGGTCAAAGAGAAAGGTCTTGAGACCGGCCTTGAAGGAGGAAAGGGAGGAAGCGGCGAAGGCACTGGGGATGGAGTTCCAGAGCCTCGGGGCTGAAGGCCCGACCACCGATGGTCGGGCGGTTGGGGCGGGGGACGTGGAGCAGACCGGAGCCAGAGGAACGGAGGGTATGGGCAGGTAAGTAGGGGGATAGTAGGTCGGAGAGGTAGGAGGGAGCAAGGCCATGAATGGCCTTGTAGGTGAGGATGAGGATCTTGAATTCCCCTCTAAAAGAGGGGAAGGAAGGGGCAAGGCAGAGGGATTGAGGGAGAGAATTCCAAAGATTCTGTGCGTTGCGGCTGAAAGTGGATGGTGATGCTGATGGCGGAGCGGAGGGAACGAGGGACAAGCATGAGGCCAAGGCCGGCTGAGTGGAGGCAGCGGATAGTGGAGTGGGGGGTAAGCAGGTCAGAGCGATAGGGAGGTGCCAGGGCAGGAGACAATTGTGAGGGCACCTGACAGAGTTTTAACGTTATGAAAGAATTCATTAAGGTGGACATTAATAGGCTGTTTCCACTTGTTGGTAAGTCTGAAACTGGAGGGTATAAATCTAAACGAATCCTTGCATTTTATATAGCGCCTTATCCCATCGGGAGGACGTCTCAAAGGACTTCATGGTACCCAGTGAAATGGAGTGACTGTGTATTTGTAGGTAAATGTGCAGTCCTGTAGCTCAGTTGTGAGAGCCCTCGCCTCGCCAGCGAGAGGACCCGGGTTTGATTCCCGGGCAGAGAGAAACCTCAGGAAAGTTTCCTTACTCCACACCCCTCTGTTTACAGCAGTGAGTACGTACCCGGTTATGGATCACTTTCTGGAGGTAATAATCTCTTAAATTTTTTAAAAGAAGAAAAGAATAAATTGGTCACTCGACCCATGACTGTTTGTGAGACGCTTCTGTGCGCAATTGGCTGCCGTGTTTCACCCACAAAACGTGGTCACTACAATATACTCTGTGAAGCGCTTTGTGATGTTTCAAAGATGTGATCATTATCACAATAATAAACATATATCAAATGTAAGGATTATTATTGTTGCTGTTATTATAATAAATGTGACAGCCCAATTGTGCACAGCAGTGTCCCCCCCACACAGCCTTGAAGTGAGTAAACAATTTTCTCTGGGGATTGTTGTCCAGGATAGCGGGAGAGAGAGGGGGAGCAAGAGAGAGAAACTCCCTTCTCTTTCCCAGTAGCCCCGCGGGATCTTTAACATCCACCTGAACAGGTACAGACGGGGAGTGAGAGTTAACATCTCATCCAAAGGATGGCACCAGCGACAATACAGTGCTCGCCCCCCCACAACCCACCCGGCGCTGTGTATTTTATGGGCAAAACACTTGCCCCTAAGGTTTCGCCTGAGAATGGAACCCGGTTCCACTCGGTTGCAAAGTGAGCGCACTCACCACTACACTACGGGATCTCCACTTGCCTGCCCTCTGCCACCCGGCCCCTGCCTTGTTGACGCTGTGCATTCCCCCTACTCTTTCTACAGACAAACTGTGGAGGAAGGGTAAGTATGGTGCACCAGCCTCAATGTATCAGCCATTGTCTCCACGGTTTCCCGTGGCATTGACGCTCACACCCACTGGGGGACACGTGCATCTTACATGGCAACGTCAACCAGTCCCTGCATTGCATTGCATCCATCTTGTGACGGCGTCATCACCATTGCTAACATAACACTTCCTGCATGACATTCTGACTGGTGACTTGTGATTTTCTCTTTCATCACATGGTATCAACGTGTGTTAACCATCAAACCATCTGCCCCTCATTAGCCCTGTAACCCGCATCTTGTTTGCTTTGTGTGTTTTGACATAGTCAACTGACACCCCTTACAGCCTTCCCCCCCTCCTCCCCGTCAAGTCTATCTCAACAACAACAACAAAATTACATTTGTAAAGCGCCTTTCACTTCGGGAGGACTTTCCGAGGCGCTGAACAGTCAGGGATCAGGACCCAAGTGTGTGATGGCGGGGGGGGAATGTGCACAGGATTGAGTCGTGCCTTGAAGGAGGCAACAGAAGGGACGAGGTGAAGGGATTGTGGGATGGACTTCCAAAGGGTGGGGGCAGAGAGGCTGAAGGCCCGACCACCGATGGTGGGATGGGCAGGGGACGTGGAGCAGGCCGGAGCCTGGTGAGCGGAGAGCAAGTCTACATTAGGGTTAGCAGGTCACAGAGGTAGGGAAGAGCAAGGCCTCGGGCTTTGAAGGAAACCGTTTGTGGTGGTCTCTGGAGCCACGACTTTCCATCTTGTTGCACTTCATGGAATCATAGAATATTACAGCACAGAAGTAGGCCATTCGGCCCATCTTTCCAGTGCTGGCTCTTTGAAAGAGCTGCCAACTAGTCCACTCCCCCCGATCTTACCCCAACTAGTCCCACTCCCCCCGCTCTTACCCCAACTAGTCCCTCTCCCCTTGCTCTTACCCCAACTAATCCCACTCCCCTACTCTTTCCCCAACTATTCCCACTCCCCCTACTCTTTCCCCAACTAGTCCCACTCCCCCTACTCTCTCCCCAACTAGTCCCACTCCCCCTACTCTCTCCCCAACTAGTCCCACTCCCCCTACTCTTTCCCCAACTAGTCCCACTCCCCCTACTCTTTCCCCAACTAGTCCCACTCCCCCTACTCTTTTCCCAACTAGTCCCACTCACCTACTCTTTCCCCAACTAGTCCCACTCCCCCTACTCTTTCCCCAACTATTCCCACTCCCCCTACTCTTACCCCATAACCTTGCAACTTTTTCCTTTTCAAGTACATTTTGAAAGCTACCACTACCCTCTCAGGCTGTGCGTTCCAGACCGCAAAAATAAATAAATTCTCCTTGTCTCCCTCTGGTTCCTTTGCCAATTACCTTTAATATGGTTACCGAGCCAGTGGAAACAGTTTCCCCCTAACTACTTGATCAAATCCCCTTAATCTTCTGTGCTCTAAAGAGTACAATCTCAGCCTCTCTCGTCTCTACACAAAACTCAAATCCCTCATCCCTGATACCATTCTGGTAAATCTCTTTTGCATCCTCTCCAAAGCCTTGACATCCTTTAGTGGTGCCCAGAATTGGACAGAATACTCCAGCTGACCAGTGACTCATTAAGGTTTAGCAGAACTTCCCTAGTGTTTATCCAGTTCCCTTTCGAAAGTTATTATTGAATCTGTTTCCACAAACTGTTCAGGTCGGGCATTCCAACCATAACAAGTCTCTGCGTCAAAAATATTCTCTTTGTATCCCATCTGATCCTTTTGCCAATGATCTTCAATCCAGGACCTCCCATTGAACTGTAAAATCCTGGAGTGGAATCTGTGTGGTATGGACTCATCACCTGTATATCTCCTCTTTCCACCCACTCCCTTTAGACGTACACTGGCTCCATTCTGGTTGCGGTGAATCCATACCAGCTCTTGCCCATCTACACGGCGGAGCAGATCCGCTATTACACCAACAGGAAGATTGGGGAAATGCCCCCACACATCTTCGCCATCGCCGACAACTGTTACTCCAACATGCAACGCAATAGCAAGGACCAGTGCTGTATCATAAGGTTTGTCTGTCGTCCTCAGGATGGGTTGGGGAGGGTTGGGGAGAGAGGCCCTCCACGGCGCCTGACCTCTTCCTACCTCTGAGACCGACTAACCCCATACCAACCTGTCCGCTCCCTCCCCTCAGTGAGCTCTGGGCTGCTCCATGTTCCCCGCCCGGCCCACCCCACCATTGGCGTCAGGCTTTCAGCTTCTCGCCACCTCTGAAACTACATCCCACAGTCCCTCCGGCTTCTCCCTCGCCTCCTACAAGACTCGTCTCAAGACCCTCCTCTTTGTCCGCACCTTCGGCCACTCTTCTAACCCCACCCTCCCTGCCCTCCAGCCTCCCTGCTCCCTGATCCCAACTCCCAGTTCGGGTCCAAATCCCTGACTGTCCAGCGCTTTGGGATAGTGGGGGTAACTGGTTGCCCAGTCGGAGTTGTCTGGTTGCATTGTGGAGGTGTTTGGCTGCATTGTGGAGGTGGTTGGCTGCCTAGTGAAGGTGGCTAGTTGCCCAGTAGAGGTGGCTGGTGACATGGCTGTGATGCTCTCTGTTGCAGTGGGGAGTCTGGGGCTGGGAAGACTGAGAGCACGAAGCTGATTCTCCAGTTCCTGGCAGCCATCAGTGGCCAACACTCGTGGATTGAGCAGCAGGTGCTGGAAGCCAACCCCATTCTGGAAGGTGAGAGCTGAGCTCAGCTGCTGGTGGTACATGGCATCCACACACCACAACTACTGGGCCCGGCTTGGGTTTACATAGGGTCCTGTAGTGTAGTGGTTAGAGCACTTGCCTCGCAAGCGAGAGGACCGGGTTCGATTCCCAGGCTGGGCTGTGTTAGTCAATTGGCGGATCGGTATCTAGGGTTAATCATCCCTTCAAAAAAAAAAGTAATCACTCAATCCACGACAGTTTGTGGGACTCTGCTTTCGCTCACAAAATATACAGTCACTCCACTTTACAGTATAGGAACATAGGACCAGGAGGAGGCCATTCAGCCCTTCGAGCCTGTCCCGCCATTTAATTAGATTGTGGCTGATCTGTACTTCAACCAATCCTTTCAATTCCAATCTCCCGCTTTCTCCCCATATCCCGAATCCCGTGACCTCCCAACAATCTATCGACCTCACTCTTGAAGGTGTGGATGGCTCCACGGCTCCAGCATCCACGGGCGTTTGGGGGAGAGAGTTCCAGATTTCTACCCCCTTTGAGTGAAAAAATGTTCCTGATTTCCCTCCTAAATGTCCTGGTTCTAATTTTAAGACTAGACCCGCTTGTTTTGGAAAAGTATATCCTGTGAAACGCTTTGAGATGCCTCAACCACATGATCAGGTGCTGAATCAACTGCAAGATTTGTTAATGGAGAATGAGGTTGGTTTGACTTTGAGGAAATAGTTTCCATGTAATTTGATTTAATGTTTTTTTCTTTTGCCCCCTCTTCCTTTCCTTCTCTCTCTCTCTCCCTTCCTCTCTCTCTCCTCTCCCTTTCTTCCCCTTTATCTCTCTCTTTCTTTCGCTCTCTCCTCTCTTTTTTCTCCTTTCCCTTTCTCTCCCCTCCCCCCCCCCCCCCCCCCCCCCCCCTCCCCTTACCCCCAGCATTTGGAAACGCTAAGACAATTCGCAATGATAACTCCAGTCGCTTCGGCAAATACATTGACATCCACTTCAACAAGCGAGGAGCCATCGAGGGGGCAAAGATCGAGCAGTATCTGCTGGAGAAATCCCGTGTCTGCCGGCAGGTAGGGAGAGAGAGAGAGATGGCAGCAACAACAATTTGTAGCGCCCATCATAGTGTCCAAGGCCAGTCCCAGACAGCGACCGCGGGCTTCAGCGAGTGATCGGGAGGAATTTTGGGGCCCGGGTGAAGACAGGATTGAATTCAGCTTTTTGTTTCTGTGCAGTCTGTAGCTCAGGGGTTAGACACTCCCCTCGCAAGCGAGAGACCTGGGTTTGATTCCTGGGCAGAGAGAAACCTTAGGCAAGTTTCCTTACTCCACACACCAGCAGTAAGTAGGAACCCGGTTGTTAGTCAATTGTTGGATCGCTTTTCCAGGGATAATAATCATTTGTTCTTGAAAAAAAATGGTTCGCTTAATCCATAATAGTTTGTGCGACACTGCTGTGCGCAATTGGCTGCTGTATTTGCCCACAAAATATTCTTTACAGTTTATTCTGTGAAGCGTTTTGAGACATCTTGGAGATGTGATAAGGCGCTATATCAAATGCAAGGTTGGATATTATTATTATTACTATTATTATCATTCTGCGAAGCACTTTGAGATAACCTCCCGATGTGAAAAGTGCTTTATCAAATGCAATTATTATCATTATTACCTTTCGCTGCCAGGCTGAATCTGAGAGGAACTATCACATATTTTACTGTATGCTGAAGGGAATGACCTCCGAACAGAAGCGGAGGCTTGGCTTGGGGAAGGCCACGGATTACAACTATCTGACCATGGTGAGGCTACATCTACAAACACACAGTCACTACACGTGTTGGCAATTCCCCACAAAGTGCTGTGAGAGGGTTTAACATTATACACAGCTTATCCTGATACAAACAGCAAAGCGTTGGTGGGTTTCAGCCAACCCTCTGTGTGGTCTTAGTCATTAGGTTTTTAGGACCAAAGGCCTTATGTGTAGCATGGTCCCAGCTGGATAAACAACAACTTGCATTTATAAAGGACTTTGAGACGTCTCGAAGGCGTGATAACGCGCTATATCAAATGCAAGGATTATTATTATTATTGTCCTCTCCACCATCGGTTGGTGGGTTTTCAGCCATTCTGCCCTTCGCTCTCTGGAACTCCATCCCGGATTCCCTCCAACTCCGTCCCTCCCTCAACTCGTTCAAGGCCCATCTCGAGATGAACCTCTTTGACCGCGCTTCTAGTCATCTTTCACCTCCTTCCTCCCCTTGATGCGACGTGTGGCTCACGGTGTAAACGACACACATGGAAACCCATCACCGTGACCAGTCGGGTGTCTGACACACACTCAAACCCATCACCATCATTAAGAGTCTCCAAACCCAACTGAGAATTCCCTACATCCCACCTACACATGGAAATCCCAGAGAGAGATTGTTGAAATGGAATGCACTCTCTCTCTCTCTCTCCTCTCTCTCTCTCTCGGGGACGCCCCCTGCTTACCTAATTCCGGAGAGTATTAGGCGCAGGTTGGCGAGAGCCAAGGCTTGGGGGGGGGGGGGCCCAGAGTGTGCGTTGGGGTAACTGCTGGAGTCTAACCGGCTAAACCCACACAGCTTGGCCATTGCTATCGCTGTCTGGCCAAGCTTTCCCGCTGCTTGTCCAGCGAGGACCACCCTCCCCGTTAGGGCTTTGGCTGTGGGGTTACCAGGAGCTGAGTGGCTCAGGGCTACTGAGACCTTCACAGAGGACTGGCTCGGTTTCAATATTCCATTGCCAAGCATGTCACCTTGGGACTGAGAGACCCACTTACCCCTGTTCCCCAAGGAACATAGTCACTAATTGGTTGGTTGACATCTGATAAGTGTGGGTTTGAACCATCGTTAGGGTGGACGGTGAATGTAAATTTAATATATATTTAATATCCAGCTGATCTGGTGAGGCAAAAAGTGTTTGTTTCAAGAACAAATTAGATTGATTTCTTTGGGAAATAATATCAAGGGAGACAGTGTATATTTGGGGACACGACATGTCCTGTAGCTCAGTGGTTAGAGCACTCGTTTGCAAGTGAGAGACCTGAGTTCAATCCCAGGCGAAACCTTGGGCAAGTTTCCTTACTCCACACAGAGCCTAATAATAATCCCTCCAAAACCAAAAACATTAATAAATTGGTCATTTTCAATCCACGACTGTTTGTGGGACATTGCTGTGCGCAATTGGCTGCCGCGTTCGCCCACAAATATACAGTCAATTCACTTTACAGTGTGTTCTGTGAAGCGCTTTCGGACGTCCTCCCGACGTGAAAAGCGCTATATCAAATGCAAGGATTATTATTATTATTATTATGTCAAGCGACTGCCAGGATGGTGGAAGGCAAACTAGATGGACCTTGGTCTTCTTTGGCCAGCAAATTCTGCTGTTGTTAAACTGTTGTGACTATAGTTGATCTCTGTCCCTGTCCCTCAGGGGAGCTGTACCACGTGTGACGGACGAGACGATAATAAAGAATATGCCAACATCCGCTCAGCCATGAAGGTCCTGATGTTTACTGACACCGAGAACTGGGAGATCTGCAAACTCATGGCCTCCATTCTACACATGGGCAACTTGACGTATGAACGTGAGTGACCAGTTTCCTGATCCAGACCTCCTCTGGTAAAGGGACCCGAGCGGGAGACCAGGAGACAGATTTTTACAAAGCGAGTTGTTACGATCTTCTCATTGGTGTAATAGCGGCTCTGCTCCTCCGTGTAGATGGGCAACAGCTGGTACAGATTCACCATACCCAGAATGGAGCCAATGTATGTCTAAAGTCTATCGAGTCCTGTAGCTCAATGGTTAGATCCCTCGCAAGCGAGAGGACCCGGGTTTGATTCCCGGGCAGGTCAGGGCGAAATCTTAGGCAAGTTTCCTTACTCCACACACCTCTGTTTACCAGCAGAGAGGGGAACCTGGTTGTTAGTTGATTTGCGGATTGCAATTCCGGGGATAATATTCCCTCCAAAAATAAATAATAATAATAATGTGGTCACTCAATCCACGGCTGTTTGTAGGACGCTGCTGTGTGCAATTGGCTGCCGCGTTTCGCCCACAAAATACACAGTCACTACTCCTTATAGTGGACCCTATGAAACGCTTTGAGACATCTCGAAGACATGATAAGGCTCTGTATCAAATGTAAGTTATTATTATTAATGATGATGTGTGTGAGGCTAGAACACACTCCTCAGATGCGAAGTCCTGCAATGCCGATCCTAACCAACAGAGGGCTGAACACAGAGGATGATGGTGATTGATTATTATTATTATTAATTTGCTTTGCTTTTCTCTTCTTGCAGCTCGTGTGTATGATAACCTGGACTCATGTGAAGTGGTTTACTCCCCACAGCTGACCACAGCCGCGTCACTCCTGGAGGTGAATGTATTGTCTGCTCGACTGCCCATTCCTCACTCTCTTCCCCCCCCTCAGCCCCTCACCTCACTGTGCTTTCCATAACTCTATTAAAATGTAGGATCAACTACTGACTGTCATCCCCCAATCCTCAGTCGTAGTTAAGCGAGGTCTCCTCCGGAGCTGAACTGGCCCCAAGGTGACCTGTGACGGTCTCTAGTCCAGTTCCTGAGCCAGGAGGGGCTGCAGTATCCCAGTTTCTTTTAACAACTATTTTAAATCGGAGCCCTCCGGTTACCGACCCACCGCCAGTGGGAATAGTTTCTCTTTGTTCACCCTATCGAATCCCCTCATCATTTGAAAACTTCTATTAACTCCTCTTCACCTTCTCTGCTCCCAGGAGAGTAATCCTGGCTTCTCTCGCCTCTCCACATAACTTAAGTCCCTTTGTCATTGTGTATATGTAACGTGTTGTTGTTGTTGTGATGACAGGTTGATGCTCAGGATCTACAGAACTGCCTGACCAGCCGGACAATCATCACCCGCGGCGAGACAGTCTCCACCCCACTCAACATGGACCAGGCGCTCGATGTTCGAGATGCTTTTGTGAAGGTGGGAAGCTCGTGCTTGCTGGGGTCTTGATGTCTAGATTCAACATAGAGGAGGTGGGATGGGGGGATGTGGGGGGGTGCGGAGAACCCATGGTGGAGGGAGGGGAGCAGAGATTCTCCATTTCTGGGCTCGGGGAGGGTTGACTGAGGGTTGGGGGAAAACTTGTTTTTGTTTCTGCCTAAAGATACAATGATTTCAACCCTTGCCCTGACTGTCCAACGCCTAAGGACATCCACTGTCTTGCTCCCCCACTGCCTCTGCGACCTTCTAACCCCATATCAGCTCCCTCCGCTTGGTGGACACCAGCTGCTTCAGATCCCCGCACTTCCCAGCCCACCATTGGCAGTCGGGCATTCAGCCTCTTTGCCCCCACCCTCTGGAACTCTAACCCGCAGTCCCACCACCACACCCTCTCTTGCCTCCTTCAAGTGTAATTTGTTGTTGTCGTTGATCTCCCAATGTGACAGGCTGCGTAAATGTAATTTGTGAGGACAGTCAGAGATTTTATATCAAATGTAAGGATTATTATTGATCCGCTGTCTCTCTCAGGGCATTTATGGCCGGCTGTTTGTGTGGATTGTGGAGAAGATTAACGCAGCCATTTACAAGCCGCCCTCCAATGAGCCCAAGGCCCTTCGCAGGTCCATTGGCTTGCTGGACATCTTTGGATTTGAGAACTTCCATGTGAACAGGTCAGAGATTGATCGGAGCTTTCCTCAGGGAAATGGATAGGGGTTGGAAAAGGAAAAAGTGCAGGTTAATAAAGGGAGATTTAACAGAGGTGCTCAAAATTCTGAGGGGTTTTGATGGAGAAACTGTTCCCTCTGGAGAGTGAGTCGGTAACCAGAGGTCACAGATTGAAGATAATTGGTAAAAGAACCAGAGGGGAGACGAGGAGCTCTTTTTTTACACAGAAAGTTGTTACGGTCTGGAACGCACAGCGTTTGTGGAAACAGATTCAATAACAACTTTGAAAAGGGAATTAGATATTTACTTGAAAAGGAAAAAGGGAAAGAGAGAGCACACGGGACGATTATTAAGTATAATTCATACTTACACAGAGTCTTTCACGTCAAGAGGGCAGGACGTCTCAAAATGCTTGACACTGCATCTGAGCTGAGGGTGGGAGCCAAGGGGAGGGGATGGGAGGAGCAGGAAAGGTGACCGAAAGCCCGGTCAAAGAGGTCAGTCTTGAGATGGGCCTTGAACGAGGTGAGAGAGAGAGAGCGTTGAGTTGGAGGGGCTTTGGGATGGACGAGTGGAGAGTGGGGGGTTGGGCGTGGTGGAATGAGTGAAAGTTTTCCTATTGATGGGACAACCAATGGGGGGGATTCCAGATGCTGAGAGTTGTGCAGTGCTAACTCACCCTCTATGTGTCCACCTCTCTCTCTCTCTCTCCCCGTAGCTTCGAGCAGCTTTGCATCAACTTTGCCAACGAGAACCTGCAGCAGTTTTTTGTGCGTCACGTGTTCAAGCTGGAGCAGGAGGAGTACAACCTGGAGAACATCAACTGGCAGCACATCGAGTTCACAGACAATCAGGAGGCCCTGGACATGATCGCACTCAAACCCATGAACATTGTCTCTCTCATCGACGAAGAGAGCAAGTTCCCCAAGGTATGGAACGGAGAGGCTTAGGTCGGGGGTGGTAGGTCGGGAGGAGGGGAAATATTCCTGTCCTGTAGCTCAGTGGTTAGAGCACTTGCCTCGCAAGCGAGAGGACCTGGGATTGATTGCCGGGCAGGTCAGGGTGAAACCTTAGGCAAGTTTTCTTACTCCACGCACACCCCTCTGTTTACCAAGCAATACGTAGGAGCCCTGTTATTAGTCGAATGGCAGATTGCTTTCCAGGGATAATAATTTCCCCCTCAAAAAAAATTTGTTCACTCAATCCACGGCTGTGTGTGGGACGCTGCTGTGCGCAATTGGCTGCTGCGTTTCACCCACAAAATACACAGTCAATTCATTTTACGGTTTATTCTGTGAAGCGCTTTGAGGCGTCCTGAAGTCGTGATAAGGCGCTGTAACAAATGTGAGGATTACTATTATTATCTTTGTGGTGAGTTATTGAGGTTGGACGTGTGTTTGTGGGGTGTCTCCTCTCCTAACAGGGCACTGATGTCACGATGCTGAACAAGTTGAATTCTCAGCACAAACTGAATTCCAATTACATCCCACCCAAGAACAGCTACGAAACCCAGTTTGGAATTGGCCATTTTGCTGGGATAGTCTACTACGAAACAAAAGGTGAGAACTTCCTCTTGGAGACTCCTAGCACCTACACTAGTGTCTACATTTATATTGCGCTTTTCAATAGCGCTGCAACTTGGCACTTACACAGCGCCTTCAAGTTGGTAGTATCTTGGAGCACGGAACGGTGGAGGAGCCTGACACTGAAATGGGGAGAGTGGGGAGGTGACCATAGGCACAGTTGAAGAGAAGGGTCTTTAGGTGTGATCTGAAGACGGGCAAAGAGGGGTCAGGACACTGGGACTCGGTTAAAATGCAGCTCAATGCTCTTTCCCCATATGCCTCAATGCCTTGCAAGCGAGACACCTGGGTTCAATTCCAGGCAGAGGGCGAAACCTTGGGCAAGTTTCCTTACTCCACACAGAGCCTAATAATAGTCCCTCCAAAACCAAAAACAATAATAAATTGGTCATTTTCAACCCACGGCTCTTTGTGGGACATTGCTGTGCGCAATTGGCTGCCGCGTTCGCCCACAAATATACAGTCAATTCACTTTACAGTGTGTTCTGTGAAGCGCTTTGAGACGTCGAGAAGATGTGAAAAGCGCTATATCAAATGCAAGGATTATTATATTATTATATTCTCACTGCGCCACTGACGCTGTGTCACAATTAGTATTTATAAAATAAAAACTTAATGGGTTCTGTTTTTCTCTGTTTCTCCCAATCCCTTTCCCAGGTTTCCTGGAGAAGAACCGGGACACTCTCCATGGAGACATCATTCAGTTGGTGCACTCCTCCAAAAACAAGTTCATCAAACAAATCTTTCAGGCCGACGTAGCCATGGTAACAACATCTTTTGGAGAGGGGGGGAGGGAGAGTGAGGAATTGGGCACTGGGGGTGGGCGGGGGGTGTTGCCGGTGTGTTGGTGTGTGTGTGTGTGTGTGTGAGAGGGGATTCTGGTTTGGTGGTTGACAATGTCTGGTGTCAGATCCGGAACCGGTTCATGGGAGTCCTGTAGTGCAGTGGTTGGAGCACTCACTTCGCAAGCGAGAGACCCGGGTTCAATCCTAAATGGGACTGAGAATAAACCTAGAAAAATCCTTTTGGATGAGCCAAGATGCCACAATAACAACTTGCATGTATATAATGCCCTTGGCGAGGAATAACGTCTCAAAGCGCTTCTCGGTGGCTGGCCAGAGAGTTAATTAGAGGGCATAAGTTCAGAGGGTGTGAAGGGCAATTTCAGGACAGACACCAGGAAATATTTCTTTACCCCGAGGGTAATTAACAGCTGGAACAGGGCTATTAGCCGAAACACTGGAACACTCTTCCTCTATTCCTCTGCCTTGCCCCTACTTTCCCATCTTCAGCTTCCTCTTCGTCTTCCTTTGAAAACCTTCCTTGTTGACCGTGCTCATGGTCACCTCTCACCCCCAGAATGCCATCCGCCAATTGACTCATAAACCGGGTTCCTACTCACTGCTGTAAACAGAGGTGTGTGGAGTAAGGAAACTTTCCTAAGGTTTTACCCTGCCTGGGAATCAAACCCGGGTCCTCTCGCTTGTGAGGCGAGTGCTATAACCACTGACTACATCTTCCCTCAGTAGCCTCTCTTGGCTGCTACTTTTTCTCCTGTTTATCACCCTCTCCGCTCTGTTTTAATGTCTGCCTTGACTGTGTCTCTCTCAGTTTCTCTGTGGCTATGAAGTTGGTACGCTGAGCCCACCAACAACACACGGCAAAAAGGTAAAGGGTTCAGTGTGAGATCTTGTCAACAAGCCTGAAATTCCATATGGTCTTAGCTCCTGGGCCCGTTTACCTAATGTTATGGTGGTTTGGAATTGTCCATTGAACTTTCCTTGTCTGATCTTGGGTCTGTTTCCCCTTCTTTGTTGTACAGTAGTTTGTGGTCACCTCTGCCTACTAGGATTCCGATAACTTGTAATAATTAATTATAATAATCCTTGCATTTGATACAGTGACTTTCACATTGGGAGGAGTCCTGTAGCTCAGTGGTTAGAGCCTCGCCTCGCAAGTGAGAGGACCTGGGTTTGATTCCCGGGCGGGACGAAATGTTGGGCAAGTTTCCTTACTCCATACGCCTCTGTTTACCAGCAGTGAGTAGGAACCCGGTTATTGGTCGATTGGCGGATTTCTTTTACAGGGGTAATAATCCCTTCAAAATAAATAAATAATAATAATAATTTGGTCACACAACCCACGACTGTTTGGCTGCCGCGTTTCACGCACAAAATATACACGTTACACTATCCTGTGAAGTGCTTTGAGACGTCTCGAAGGCATGAAAAGTCGCTATATCAAATGCAAGGATTATTATTATTATTGTGTCTCAAAGTGGGTCACGGGATATGCTGTACTGTAAAGTGTGTTTGGGGGGTGAACACGGCAGCCAGTTTGCACACAGCAAAATCCTACAAAACAGCCACAAACTGAAAGATCGTTTTTTTATCTGGCAGATTGTCAGCCAGGACACTCAGAGAGAGTGAACTCCCTCCTTCTAGGTGTCAACCTGGACTGTGAGCTCAAACAACAACAATAAATGGCATTTGTATAACACCTTTCATGTCGGAGGCACTGGACTGTGAAGAATTTGCACCCGAAATGGGGGTTGGAGGTCAAGGGGGTGGGGAGATGACTGAAGCCACGATCAAAGAGGAGGGTCTTGAGATAGGTCCTGAAAGAGGTAAAGAAGGGTGCGAGGTGGAAGGACTCTGGGATGGGGTTAGAGAGGGTGAGGCTAGAAAGGGCTGACTGCCGATGGTGGGGGCGGGCCAGGTGGGGTATATGGAGCAGGCAGTGCCAATAATTTATTTATAAAGCGTCTTTTCCGTTGGGAGCCCGTCCCAAAACACAGGACAGTCATGGGTTTGCAACTCACAAAGAATTTTCAAAGCAGGGAGGGAAGTGGAAGGATGTGGGTGTTGTAGAGTGTGTGTAGGGGGGGCAAAGAGGCCGAAAGGTTGGGGTGTGCAGGCCAAATGTATCTGACAGCTTGTTTCAGATCCTCTGCTGTCTCATACTGCTGAGTTGAGAAGGTTTGAGGCTGATCTGATTGAAGTGTTTAACATAATAAAGGGATAGAGCAGCTACAGAGAAACTGTTTCCTCTGGTGGGGAATCCAGAACAAGGGCATCATCTTAAAATTAGAGCCGCGCCATTTAGGAGTGAAATCAGGGGCAGATTTTCACCCAAAGGCCGGTGGGGATCTGGAACTCTCTCCCCAAAAGGTTGTGGATTCTGTGTGGATCCATTCACATTGTCCAGACTGAGGGGGAGAGATGTTTGTCAGGTCAGGGGATCAGGGGATATGGGGCAAAGGCGGGTAATTGGAGTGGAGGTACAGATCAGCCGTGATCTTATAGAATAGCCTCCAATTCATCATCATCAACAACAACAAAATTACATTTGTAAAGTGCTTTTCATGTCGGGAGGAGGTCCCAAGGTGCTGAACAGTCAGGGGTCAGGACCCGAGTGTGGGGGGGTGGGAGCAGGGTTGGGATGAGGGAGGGCAGAGGGGGTAGGAGGCGGCTGAAGACACGGCCGAGAAGGAGGGTCTTGAGTTGTGCCTTGAAGGAGGCAAGAGAGGGAGCGAGGGGAAGGGATTGTGGGATGGAGTTCCAAAGGGTGGGGCAGAGAGGCTGAAAGCCCGGCTGCTGATGGTGGGGCGGGTCGTGCGGGAGACCTGGAGCAGCCGGAGACTGCTGAAAGGCGGGAGCAGACAGGTTGGTAGGGGATCAGCAGGTCAGAGATGTTGGAGGGGGCAAAGCCATGGAGGGCCTTCAAAGTGAGGCCGAGGATTTTGGATTCTATCCTCTGAGGGATGGGGAACCAGTGGAGCCGGGAGAGGGTGGGGGTGATGGGGTCACAGAGCCTGTGCGGGAGAGGACATGAGCTGCAGAGTTCTGGATGATCTGCAGGTTGTGGAGGGAAGAGTTGGGGAGGCCACAAGGAGGGAGTTTCCGTAGTCGAGGCTTGAGATGACGAATGCGTTCCTATGTTTCTATAATAATAATAATAATCCTTGCATTTGATACAGCGTCTTATTCATTGTTGAGGCGTCACAAAGTGCTTCACAGAATACACTGTAAAATGTAGTGACTGTGGTTTGTCTTGTCTTTGAAGCTAGGGCAGGGGGCAGGGGCAGGTGAGGAAGGGGACCAGCAAGTGGAGAGGAGTGGTGTCCAGGGTCTCTGAGTGATGGGGAGGGAGTTGGGAAGGGAGGGCTCCAGTGGAGTGAACACTTGAATGTCGCTCGATCAGGTGAAGGATCAGGATTTGACCTCATGTGACTCCGGATTGTAAACAAATCTCAAAATAATTGATGTGTTGTGGACAAACAAATCATCAAAGGTTGTCAGTGTTGGAGGCCATTGAGCATTGAGCCCATCGGGTCTGTGTTGGTTTACCCTCCCCCGAGCTCTCTAATCTCATAAAGATGCTCGCTTTTTCCCCCACTCGCTCCCCCATTGGAGCTCTCTACTCTAACCCCATTCCCTGCTCTCTCTCTCTCCCCATCATGTCTGTGCTGGTGTTCACTCTAACACTGTCCTCTCTCTCCCTGGAGGGGGACATCTTGTTTACCTAATTCCGGAGAGTATTGTTGACTGAGCGAAGCCGAGGTGCTAAAGGTGCTAAAGAGTTAAAATCATCTGTTGACCAGGATAACGTTGGCAAGTGCTTTGAAGGGAAGTCTCTCTCATCGATCCTGTTGCTTCCTGGTGTGTGTGTGTGTGTGCGTCTTTATTTTTCCACCCAATTATTCCATTGTGGTGACTTGTTTTTCCCAGGGAGCAGAGACGAGGAAGCGCTCTCCCACCCTGAGCAGCCAGTTTAAGCGGTCGCTGGACTTACTGATGAGAACCCTGAGTGTCTGTCAGCCATTCTTCGTTCGCTGCATCAAACCTAACGAGTATAAGAAGTCAATGGTAGAGTATTACTGACTGTTTCCTTGCATTAATTAGTGTTAAGAGTCACTGTTGTGTAGTTGTTAGTGCACTCGCCTCGAAAGCCAAAGGACACGGATTCGTCTAGAAGACGTGATAAGATGCTATATCAAATATAAGGATTATTTGATTATTATTCTCATTTATATTGTGTTATTAATGACTGTTCCTGTCACAGCTATTTGATCGGGAGCTGTGTGTGCGACAACTGAGATACTCTGGGATGATGGAGACAATTCGTATCCGACGGGCAGGTTATCCCATCCGCTACACCTTTGTGGAGTTTGTGGATCGCTACAGGGTCCTGATGCCTGGGGTGAAGCCGGCCTACAAACAGGCACGTGGTCAAACACACAGACTGTGTCATTCAACAACAAATGGCATTTACACAGCACCTTTCACATCGTTAGGACGTCCCAATGCGCTAGAGAATGAGCTGCGGGTTGAGATCAGGAGAGGTGGAGGGCAGGGAGGGAGCGTGACCGAAGGCGCGGTCTAAAAGGAAGGTCTCGAGACAGGCTTTCAAGGAGGCGAGGGAGGGGGCGAGGCAGAGGGACTGTGGGATGGAATTCCAGAGGGTGGGGGCAGAGAGGCTGAAGGCCTGACCGCAGGCTGGGTGGGGGACGTGGGGCAGGCCAGCGCCTGCTGAGCAGAGAGCGTGGAGACGTTAGGGAAGCTTTCATAGGTTCTGTGAGTTCTGTAGCTCAGTGGTTAGAGCACTCGCCTCGCAGGCGAGAGATCTGTGTTTGATTCCTGGCAGGGGGGGTGCGAAACCTTGGACAAGTTTCCTACTCCACACACAGCCTGATAATAACTCCTCGAGAAAAAAAACAAGAATAAAATTGGTCACTTCAATCCACGCCTATTTGTGGGACACTGCTGTGCGCAATTGGCCCTGTGTTTCACCCACAAATATACAGTCAATTCACTTTATAGTGTATTCTGTGAAGCACTTTGAGACAGACATGAGAAGGCGCTATATCAAATGCCAGGTTTATTACAGGTCGCCTTCCTCCAAACAGTGTGACCGTGTGTGGTTGATTAGAATGTGTTAGTGTTTGTCTTAACCCAATAGACATCTTGTTGATCGCTCCCTCTCCTCCCCTCAGGAGGACCTACGTGGAACATGCCAGCGCATAGCGGACGCGGTCTTGGGTCGGGCCGGTGATTGGCAGATCGGAAAGACAAAAATCTTCCTCAAGGTTTGGCAGTGTTTGTTTATTTGTTTATTTGGTTGCTCACTCTGAGTCAGAAGGTTGTGGGTTTCAGCCCCATGTTGGATGTTTGAGTTCACACTGTCCAGGTCGTCAGTCCAACACAGCCCTGGGGGAGCGCTGTATTGTGGGATTATCCATCCTTTGGATGAGACGTTAAACTGAGTCCCATCTGTTTGTGGACATTAAAGATCCCGCGGGGCCATTGGAAAAGAGAAGGGAGTTTCTCTCTCTCTCCCGGTGTCCTGGCCAACAATCCCCCTAATAAAATTGGTTGCTCAACCCAAGGCTGTTTGTGGAACATTATTGTGCAAACATCGGTTGCTGCGTTCGCCCACAAAATACACAGTCACTACACTTTACGGTATGTCCTGTGAAACGCTTTGAGACTTCCTACCCACATGATAAGCTACTGTATCAAATGTAGGAATTATTATATGTAAATATATAATGCAGTTAGTTTGCTCCATAACTCATAGAGTTACATAGCAGCTCAGAGAGCTGATACTCTTATCTTCCTTGAAGGACGCTATATATGATAATAATTCAGAATTATCCTTACATTTGATACAGCGTATATCATGTCGTTGAGACGTCTCAAAGTGCTTCGCAGGATATACTGTAAAGTGATGTGACTGTGTTTTTGTGGGCAAAACCCGGCAGCTAATTCATACACAGCAACGTCCCATAAACAGCCATGGAGCAAGTCATCAAATATGATTTAGGGGATTGTTGCCAGGACCCCGAGAGAGAGAGGGAGAGAGAGTGTGTGAGAGAGAGAGTGTGTGTGAGAGAGAGACAGAGAGAGAGTGTGTGAGAGAGAGAGAGTGTGTGTGAGAGAGAGAGAGTCCCTTCTCTTTCCCAACAGCTCCGCGGGATCTTTAACATCCACCTGAACAGGACGGCACCTCCCACAATACAACCCCCCCAGCACTGCCCGGACCCTCAGCTTAGACTGTGTGACTCCAAGTCCTGATGTGGGGCTTAAACCCACAACCTCCTGCCTCAGAGGGACTGACACGCACTGACACGCACTGAGCCGGGCTGACACGCACTGACACGCACTGGCACGCACTGACACGCACTGAGCCGGGCTGACACGCACTGACACGCACTGGCACGCACTGACACGCACTGAGCCGGGCTGACACACACACACTGAGCCGGGCTGACACGCACTGAGCCGGGCTGACACGCACTGAGCCGGGCTGACACACACTGAGCCGGGCTGACACGCACTGAGCCGGGCTGACACACACTGACACGTACTGACATGCACTGAACCGGGCTGACACACACTGACAGACACTGAGCCGGGCTGACACGCACTGAGCCGGGCTGACACGCACTGAGCCGGGCTGACACGCACTGAGCCGGGCTGACACGCACTGAGCCGGGCTGACACGCACTGAGCCGGGCTGACACTATAAAGTCAACTAGTCAGTGTTTATAGCAATACCAGCCTCCCCAGCTCCCGCTCCCCTGTCCCCCCCTTGCTCCCCTGATCTCTCGCTCTCTGTTAAGTTTCCCCTTCCCCCGGCTCGGATGGAGTCTGAGAGTTATCAGTGGTTTCCAGTCCCAATGTCAGGAAGCTGCTGTGTTTTTGCTGAGGACTCGGGGACGGAGCTGTTTCCTGCCAGGAATCTCCAGCTCATCTGCTGGGATTTGCCGGCCAGTAAACAGGGGCGGCTGAAAGTCCTTTTTTATGGAAAAGTAGACGGAGTTGGTGGGTGTGGTTGGGTTTATTATTCCCTGAAACTCTGTGCTGGTTTGTGGGCAGCCGGTGTGACTCACGTTTACACACAGACCTTCACACTGGGTCACGTCTCGGAGCGCTGCACCATTCCAGGGATGCACGCCAAGTGGGGAGGGTGGAGCGATGGTGAGGTTGAGGAAGTAGGGTTTAAGGCGAGATTGAAAGACCAATTGGGGTGGTGGAGGTGGGGGAGAGGTGGAGAGGCGTGCGGAGAGGAGGGGAAGAGTAGAGGCAGAGAGTTCCAGAGGTTAGGGGTGACGTGACTACAGGAGATGTTAATAGTTTGAGAGTACCCAATGATAATTTACTAGATTGAAACTGCCAGCCTGGCTCGGCGGTATCTCTCTCTCTCTCCCTCTCCTCCGAATCAGAAGGTTGTGGGTTCAAACCCCTCCACGTCATTGAGACGTCTCAAAGTGCTTCACAGGATACACTATAAAGTGAATTGACTATATATTTTATAGTCATGTTTGTGGGATTTGAAATTATTATTATTTATTTGTTTTGGAGATTACCCCCTGAAATTTGATCAACCGATCAACTAACAACCGGGTTCCTACTCACTGCTGGTAAACAGAGACGTGTGGAGTAAAGAAACTTGTCTAAGGTTTCGCCCCGCCCGAGAATCAAACCCGGGTCTCTCGCAAGCGCAAAGGACTGGTTTGAGCGAGTGGTCAGACGAGGTGACCTTGTCTTGCTGTCTCTGGTTTCAGGACCACCACGACATGTTGCTGGAGATCGAGCGGGACAAGGCCATCACTGACAAGGTCATCCTCATTCAGAAAGTGGTCAGAGGCTTTAAGGACAGGTGAGGCTCTGCCAAGATATCAAGACCTTGGAGAGGATCCAGAGGAAACTTATCAGAATGGTACCAGGAATGAGGGTACAGGAGCACAGGGTGTTCACATACTTTGAAGGTGGCAGGACAGGTCGATAAAGCTGTTTAAAAAAAGCATACGGGATCCTTGGCTTTATAAATAGAAACAGAGTACAAAAGTGAGGAAGTTCTGCTAAACCTTTATTATGTCCAATTCTGGGCACCACTAAAGGATGTCAAGACCTTGGAGAGGGAGCAGAGGAGATTTACCAGAATGGTATACCAGTGATGAGGGACTTTGGTTATGTGGAGAGACGAGAAATGCCGGGATTGTTCTCTTTAAAGCAGAGAAGGTTAAGGGGATATTTAATGAAGGTGTTCACAATGATGAAGAGTTTTGATAGAGTAGACGGGGAGAAACTGTTTCCTCTGGCAGGTCAGTAACCAGAGGACATAGATTTAAGATAATTGGCAGAAGAATCAGAGCAGAGACATGCAGACATGTTTTTGCCCAGAGAGTTGTTAGAGTCTGGAGCACGGCCTGACAGATTCAGTAACAACTTTCAAAAGGGAATTGGATAGGGACTTGAAGAGGAAAAATTTGCAAGTCTATGAGGTAAAAGCGGGGGAGTGGAACTAGTTGGGGTAAAAGTGGGGGGAATGGGACTAGTTGGGGTAAGAGTGGGGGAATGGGACTGGTTGGGGTAAGAGTGGGGGAGTGAGACTATTTGGGGTAGGAGCGGGGGAGTGGGACTAGTTGGGGTAAGAGTGAGGGATGGGACTAGTTGGGGTAAGAGTGAGGGAGTGAGACTAGTTGGGGTAAGAGTGAGGGAGTGAGACTAGTTGGGGTAAGAGTGAGGGAGTGGGACTAGTTGGGGTAAGAGCGGGAGAGTGAGACTAGTTGGGGTAAGAGTGGGGGAGTGGGATTAGTTGGGGTAAGAGTGGGGGAGTGAGACTATTTGGGGTAAAAGCGGGGGAGTGGGACCAGTTGGGGTAAGAGTGGGGGAGTGGGACTAGTTGGGGTAGGAGCGGGGGAGTGGGACTAGTTGGTGGCTCTTCCAAAGAGCCGGTACAGGCATGATGGGCCGAATTGCCTCCTTCTGTGCTGTATGATTCCGTGGCTGGCTCGGGGCAACGACGGCGATGGGGCAGTGTCTGGTGAAAGATGAAGCAACAGCAACACGACATTTACACAACTCCTCTCATAGTTGGGAGGACGTCCCAAAGTGCTGGACAATGAGGGGTTTGGACCCGAGTTGGGAGTTGGGATCAGGAGGGGTGGAGGGGTGGGGTAGGAAGGTGACCGAAGGCACAGTCGAAGAGGAGGGTCTTGAGACGAGGCTTGAAGGAGGGGAGGAGACAGTGGGATAGAGATCCAGACGGTGGGGGCAGAGACGCTGAAGGCCCGACTGCTGATGTTTGTGGGTGGGGGTGGGGGGTACAGGCACAGGCATAGAATGGCCTCCTGTTGTGGTGTACACCTGTGCAGTGTGAAGGGGCTGAGGCTCAGACACTCACATGGAGCCAATCTTCCCTCAGGTCAACGTTTATTAAACTGAGACGTTCAGTGATGTTGATCCAGAAACACTGGCGAGGCTATTACTGTCGCAGGAACTTCATGGCTGTGAGTTACACATCATAGACGTACTGAGCCCTATACACTGCCTCTCTCTTTCTCCCTCTCTTTATCTCTTTCTCATCTCTCTCTTTCTCGCCCCTCTTCTGTATCTCCCTACTCCTCTCTCTCTCGTTCTCTTTCTCCTCTCTCCCCCTCTCTCCCCCTCTCTCTCACTCTCCTCTATCTCCTCGCTTCTCTCTCTCTTCTCTATCTCATTCTCCTCTCTCTCTTCCTCCCCTCTATCCCTCTTCTCTTTCCCTCTCCTCTATCCCTCTCTCTCCTCGCTATGTCCTTTTCTTTCTCTCTCTCTCTCTCTCTATATATATATCCTCTCTCTCTCCTCTCTATCTCCTTCTCTCTCCTCTCTATCTCTTTCAGACCAGATTCATACTAAGTGTGTATCTATCTACCTGTTGGAGCTCGGGAGGTTGAGAGGTGATGTGGCCGAGGGTTTTAAGATGAGGAATTGAGGGAAAAGCTCCACAAACCCATTTACATTAATGCAGTGCCTTTCATATCGGGAGGACGTCCCAAGGCATTTAACATTGGTGACTGGGCACCTGAGCCGAGGGGTGGGCCGAGGGTGCGAGCCGAGGGGTGGATTGGGGGGAGGGGAAAGGTGATCAAGTCTTGGGATGGACCTTGAATGAGGGGAGGAGCGAGGGAGCGAGTGGACGGAAATCTGGGATGGAGTTCCTGAGAGCGGGGGAAGAATATCTGAAAGCCCAGCGGGCGATGGTGGTGTGGGAGCGGGCGATGGTGGTGTGGGAGCGGGCGATGGTGGTGTGGGAGCGGGGGGGGGACCTAAAGCAGCCGGTGCCCGCTGAGCGAGGGGAGCGACCGGTTTGGTAAGGGTCAAAGAGACGGCAGAGGTAGAGGGGGGGAAGCGAGGATTCCCGGTGGTCATTATCCTTACATTTGACCCAGCGCCTTATACGTTGGAGAGGGAGCAGTCTCTGTGGGTGTGTAGTGACTGTGCGTGGTGTATTTCTCTACAGATGAGGACGGGGTTTAGCCGGTTGCAGGCCGTTTACCAAGCCCGAAAACTCCGCAGCCGCT